GACGGCGAGTAGCGAGGCAGCGGCGACAGCACTCCGTGAAGAGGGACTGGCGGCAGCGGCGACGGGGAGCTTGGGCAGCGGACGACAGCACTCCGTGAAGAGGTCTGACGGCGGCGGCGGCTGCGGTGTCTGCGCGAACGAAGACGGGGCGAGGTCGAGATCGATGTGAGCTCGACAGGGTTAAATCCGGAAATCCAGCAGTCCGCTGGGACCGGCAGGCTCTGCAATGGTGCCGAGGCGTGACCGGCAGGCTTCACGCGCTGGCACGTCTCGCACGTACGGACGTAGGTGGCGACCCACTTGTACATGTGACGCCACCAAAACACCTGCGAGACATCTTCTCACGGCCGAGATGGCCACTGGATGGAGCGTCATGCGCCTCCATCAGGATGTCGTACTTTAGATCCTCTTCGTTGGGCACGACAATACGGGGAGGATCCTCGGGCTCGACCCTATAGTGGAGCAAACCGTCAGCCCACTCATAGCGGTGCAGCCTTGCACGTTGTCGGGGCGTGAGCCACTCGGCCTTGGCTTCCGAGCCAGCGGCCAAGAACCGCACAAGAGCTCCGAGACTGGCATCGTCTCGGTACCCCAGCCTGATGCGATCATACAGATCCGTCGTGACCCGACTAATATGAGCAAGCTCGTAGTCGGGTCGGCGCGACAGCGCGTCGGCAAGCACGGTCAACTTGCCCGGCTTGTACTCGACACGGAAGTTGTATTCCGCGAAGAATGACAGCCAACGCGCCATCCGCTGTGAGAGATGCGGCGTGTTGACGGCAGTCCGCAAGGACGCGTGGTCTGTATAAACGACAAAGGGCGTCGAGCCCAGGAGGTGCACTCGGAACTTGACAAGAGCGTACTTCATGGCAAGTAGCTCCTTGTCGTGGACTGGATAGTTCCGTTCGGCTGCCTTGAGCTGCCTGGACTGGAACGAGATGACCCGTTCGCGGCCTTCATCGTCGGCCTGCAATAGCGCACAGCCAATTGCGTAGTCAGACGCATCACAGACAACGCTGAAAGGCTTCGTCTCGTCCGGCAATGCCAGGACTGGCGCGCGCTGTTAGCTCGCTTTGATGTCGTTAAAAGCATCTTGATGGCGACGCTCCCAGCGCCAGTCGACATCCTTCTTCAGGAGATCCGACAAGGGCCGTGCCAGCTCGGCGTAGCCTGCCCTATACTTGTGCAGGTAGTTGTTGAGGCCCAACCACTGTCGTAGGTCCTTCTGCGACCGAGGTGGCGGCCAAGCCGCGATGGTTTTCACCTTCTCAGGGTCCGCCCGGACCCCGGCGCTGCTGACGAAGCAGCCCAGGACCTTGATCTCCTCAGCTGCGAACACACACTTGTCGATGTTGGCGTACAGCTTGTTCGCCCGCATGACTTCGAACACACGTCGAAGGTGCTGGAGATGCACCTCCATGGCCGTCTGGCCTGCCTCGGCACGGCTGTGGACGAAGATGTCGTCAAAGTACGTCTGTGTGAACGCACGCAAAGGTCGGAACAGTTGTGTGATCAAGCGATTGAACGTTGCCGGGGCGTTAGAAAGCCCCTGAGGCATGACCAGCCACTCCCAGAGCATACCTCTCGGCGTGCTCACAGCCGTGAGTGGGATGTCGCTCTCGCGCATCAGGATCTGGTAGTATCCGTCCACCAGGTCCAGCGCGCTATACAGCGTGCAGCCGGCCATGTTGTTGAGCAACACGTCCTTGCGCGGGATCGGTGTCTGCGCAGGCACTGTCGCGCTGTTCAGCTTGTTATAAGCATAAACCAGACGCCACTTTCCGTTCGGTTTGCGAACACAGAAGGTAGGCGTCGAGTGCGGGGACTTCGACTCCCGCACCATGCCTGCCTTCGTCTTGGCGGCAAAGAAGGCATCAATGACTTCACACCGCTCCCGGGGAAGAGGCCATTGCCTCGTGACACAGTACTTCGTGCCCGGCCCGAATCGATCTCGTGCCTGATTCCCCTGTCCGGAGGGAGATTGGACGGTGGATCCTTGGACACCACGTCCTCGAACTCCTTCACCAAGGGATACACCGGGTCCCGGGGGTTCTTAAGAATCTCAGAGCCCATGCGCGACGCGCGCTGTCTCTGGAACTCCTCCAGGACTGCCTGGTCCATGACCGAGGACGAGTTCAACTCGGCCGACGTGGACTCCGGTCGGAGGAGAACCAACTCTGCGATCTCCCCGGCCTTTAGCTCGGCCAAGAAGTCCTCCATGGCGAGCTCCTCAAGGTTCAGCAACTCTGAAACCTCGGGCAGAGCTGTAAGCTCGACAGCTCCTGTCTTGACCCGACGACCGGTCACGCCGTCGAAGATGTGATAACACTCTTCGGCGGCTGGAGCCTTGGCTGGAGGCTCGGAGTCGCTGGCGACTGGCGTCGTCGGCCACACGACTAGGCCCGGCTTACGACGTGACCCTCGGGTGTCTTCGTCTCGTGGCGCCGCCTTGACGGCACCACCGATCTTCTCGATCTCGTGCGGAACTTGGTTACCCGCCTTGCTGGGTGGAACTATGTTACCCACCTCGCCGTGTGGAACTTGGTTACCCACACCAGGAGCGCTTCCAGCGACTCCCGCATCAGTTATGGTCTGAGTGACCTCCTGTGGAACTATGTTACCCACATCGGAAGCGCCTGCAGTGCCTTCCTCATCAGTTACGGTCTGAGTGACCTCGCGTGGAACTTGGTTACCCACGCCAACGCCAGCGGCGCCTTCTCCAGCAGCCCTTGCTGCCTGCGGTACTTCATTACCCGCGTGTGGACCTACGTTACCCACCTGGTAGGTGCTGTCCGGCACCTCCACTCTCAGGCCTTGTCCGGCCCGGTCGGAGTCGTCGTCAGTCTCGACGGGCCCCAAGAACTCATTAGACGCTGCTGCGCCCTGGCGGCCCTCGCGGGCGCCCCAGCTGCTGCCAGAGGTGGGAACATGACTCACCAAAGCTCTGTCAGAGCGTGGGGGACGGCTGGCCCCGATGGCCTTGCCGCGCCAGTCGATCCAAGGCTCGTGTTTCTCCAGCCACAGCATGCCAAGGATCAAGTCGTACTTGTCCATGTCTAGGACCAAGAACGGCTCCGTGCTGTCGAAGTCCTCGAACTTGACAGTGAGGTCCATGTCGACCCGAGGTACTTCTACCACCGTACCGTCGGCCAGTCTTACCGAGACCAGCCCGTTGCATTTGCTGCCTCGTAGCGCATCGGTGTACCTGTCGCGATTGCGTGCGACAGTCTGGCGGCGCGCAAAGTTCTTGGACGCCCCAGAGTCGATCAAGATTCTCAAGGGATGATCGTATCCCGGTACACTCGCGTGCACCACAAGCAGCCCACCGCTGCCCTTCTCCGCTTCGAGAGTACAGAGACTCTCAGGGGCTACGTCCCCATGGCGTGCGCCACCCGCACGCCCCTCATGAAGACTTAGTGTTTCCCCAGTAGGGCGCCCCGCCCATACTGGTGTCCGGCGTTCCCCTGGTTCCTGGGGCGCGGCTTCTGCCAGCGACCCCTAGAGCCAAAGGGCTTCGAAGAGAACTTCTTCTTCAGTCCTCCCGCGGGACAAGCACGTTTCATGTGCCCAAGCTTGCCACAGCCGTAGCAGCGAATGTCGCTCTGCTCGGCCATGCCCAGATCCATGGGAACCGGCCCGTTGATCGCTCCATTGCCGGAGTTACCATTAGGCGCACCGCCAGAGGCAGGGTTGCTCTGCCAGACCGTGGTGGGGGTACGAGCCTGCTTGTGGCTGTACTCCTCCTGGAGGGCGATCTGAATCGCCTCCTCCATAGTGTTTGCTTGCACACGGAACAGTTGCGTGCGGGCAGGACCGACACGCAGACCGTCCATGAACACGGTCACCTTGATGTGTTCAGGCAGGTGGTTCCCCACCAAAGAGGCAGTGAGCACTTGCATCTCCTGGATGTACTCATGCAGCTCGCGCCTTCCTTGTTTGCAGGCGAGGAAGCGCGAACGCTGGCGGTACTCGTAGTTCGCCGGAAGAAACGCGGCCCGCAGTTGCTCGCACAGCTGGGACCATGATGCGAAGCATCCAGGCGTCGTCGCTTCGCGCGCGACCACTAAGGTTGGAGAGCGCAAAGGCGACACGGAGTCGCTCGTCCGGGACGAGAGCCGCGTTCATCGCGAGCTCAACCTCTCGAACGCAGAAGTGAAGGTTTTCTCCTTCCTTCCCTTCGAAGGGGTGAACCTTCAGCCGCAGGGGCTTCAGTTGCACCGGCTTCGGCGCGGCCGCAGTGGCCTGCTGCCCTTGAACGTGGGCGATGAGCCCTCGCTCGTAGGTGTCGAACGCGTTGATACGCTCAACCTGCTCAGCCGGCGTCGCCGCCGCTAAGCTACGCAGGGCATCTGTCCCAAAGATGCCTGCCATCTTACGAACGGACTCGTACTGCGAGTCGTTCAGATGGGGAAACTCCGTACGATCCATCTTGGCTCACTCGATGAGACCACAGAGGATTCAGGTAGTCCAATCTACCCGCGTAGGCGTAGGATTGACTACAAGTGCTACCAAGTGTGACGGGGCACACAGCACTTCTTAACAGAGGAAGCAGGAGTGTACAAACTCCAAGTGAACAGCCGTTCACGTGTCCCTGGTCTGAAGGGGACGACTTGACTTGAAAAGCGGTAGATCTAAGACTGAATGTATTTATAGGTTGGTGCAGATTTGGCCTGCATACAAATCCTAAGTTCCCTATAGTTTGTGTCATACAAAATGTATCTGTTGGCTCTGAGGCCACTTAGGTCTCTATCCAGGGGAGTGACCGATGTAGCCATCCCGGAGTGACAGGGTCACTATTCCATGTAACCCCGTTACAATTGTAATGCTCCGCATGATCATTCAAAGTGAGGACAGTTCAGGTTTGAAAGTCTCAACTCGAGTACTCCACGGTGGCTCGGTGGGAACAGAGATAAGGTGCCACGTAACATCGCCAATGAACGGAGCCCAATCCGACTGTATAAATCGCCAGAGTGCCGCTGTGCGGGGGCAGTCGAAAAGAGATGTCGTTCGGTCTCAACGAAAGCGCACTCCGTGTCGGAGCAGTTTAGAGCAGTCGAATTCAACCGCTGAAGAAACCAAAACCGTGATCGAGTCGGCAGAAGCTTCCAACACAAGCGAAATTGAAGATCAGCGTAAACAGGAAGCACCAACTTGCGCAAATTCTTGAGTGGGTCAATCGTTTCTCGCAGACAATCACGGGTCAACCCTTCGCAGTGGTTACAATCTTGAAGTGTCAGTCGAAGTATTGCTCGCCAACTACCGGAAGGCGCCGGAGTTCCTGTCCCCAACAGCTTTGAACGACTGCTTCGACATGTACAAGTACGTCTTGAAGCACGAGAACATCGTGCCGGGCCACGTCGTGCTCAGCGGTGACAGTGCAGGCGGCGAAATATGCATGACGAACTGTATACGACTACGCAAGGAGAACCCGGAGCTCCAGCCGGCAGCCGCGCTGTGCTACTCGCCCATGGTGGATTTCAGCGAGGTAGACAGCGACAACAAGGCTTCGTACTGCATTCTCGTGACCAATTTCGCCGACCGATGCATCGCTACGTTCCTGAGTAGCGTTTCGGACCCGGAGGAGCGTCGGCAGGCGTCGGCAGGCGTCGGCTATTAACCAGGATCTACGAGGCCTGCCACCAATCTTTCTGCAGTGGGGAGAGCTAGAGCGGTTCTACGAGCAGGGCATGAGGTTCAAGGCCAAGGCTGAAGCGGAAGGTGCGAAGAACGTGGAGTTTGACGTCCTGTAGAACATGGTGCACGACCCGGTGATGTTCCGAGTCCTGCCGCGGAGAAGGGCATCTGGAACGGTGTATTTCCGAGTGTAGCGGGGAAATTATGTTTTCCGATGGAAGGATAAAGCCACGTTGAAGAAAGACAAGGCGACCGTGGACGGCGAGCCGCACGCGGACACCAAGGCGCACGTGGACACCAAGATGCACACGCACACCAAGACGCGCGCGGTCACCAGTTGGTTTAGTATATTCAAGCGGGCGGTTTTCTTGGACCGGGCAACCGGTACATGTTTTGTCCCCAGCCGAACGTGGCAGTAGTGTAGTTTGAGCAGTTCGTTCTGGGCCAGTCAAGAGTTTGCACCGTCGGGCGCAGGTCCCCAGCAGCCCCGACACGCCACCACGGCACGCTCGATCGCACGCCCGGCGGCACGCATCCGACTCTTCGACACAGCGGGCGGGCCCGCTCACTATTCCTACCTCCTATACTGGGGGCAGCTCGCGTCTCCACCCGCGGTACGTACAGCAACGCATTGACCCAACCTTTTCGGCTGTTGGTCTGCTGCTCGGCGGCACCGTCGTTCCCAGCAACCCACCATCGGACAACAACACGCCCACGCTGCTGAGTTGCTCCACGGTTACGTCTGCAAGGACCCAGCTTCCTACCACGTTTGGCAACAACCAACACCGGCTGCTCGTCCACGCTCGGGGCCAAGTAGCGCAAGACCATCAGTTCGAGGATGGGGGGCGTCAACTGCTAGCTGTACCCGCAACGGGCACGTTATCCATGCACTACATGCTCTCTCTAGTTCTCACTGCTATCTCATGCGACTAACGTTATGCGTGTGCTCGGACAGTTGGACCAGCAGCTCGTTCCCGATCACCTCGGCGAATTATTCGGGGGTAGCCCCAACTCGCACTCCGTGAGCTTGATGGGGCTCGCCTTCAATAATCCAGAACGACTGCTGACCCCCCAACGTGCTTTAGGGTGTGTTCCTCAGTTCCGCTGTATGATTCCGTCGGATTGAGCAATCCGCCAATTGAGAAGCATTCAGCGGATTCCGCTATCCGCTAAACCGGATGAGGAACACGTCCACCGGCATCCGCTACCCTCCAAATCGCACTCTGAGATTAAATAAAAACACGTGTATTATGGGATAGAGTGTATGAAATAGAGATTCAGCTGGTTGCCTTTTACTTTGACCTAACCTTACGTCAAGTCTGCGCCAAGCCCTTGTTTGGCAAAAAGGCTTCGCGCACTGGGTCGTTGCCGTACAATAACCCTTTTGGTCTGCGTGCACCATATCCATAGCGTGTTGTGCGCTGTCTTTGCCCTTCACCCTCGTTTGCCGGGGCACTTGCCTTCATCTTATCCTCCTCGTTCTACTTACTGAGTGACTAGGCTCCCTGTAGTAGTCTCCTTGCTTGCTTTGCCCGCGCGTTTACTGAATGCAGCCAGCCTTCCCTGTACGGCTAACTATAAGGGGCTATGGAATCGAAGTGCCAGATCAGCAGTGCATTTTTACAGCATAAAAGCTCAGAACATATCCTTATCGCTAAGCTGATACCATTGCGTGCGTAAAGCGAAATCGTTGACTGCACTTCCCAACGACGAGCAGTCGTCAAGACACCACGTAAGGAGGTCATTTGGCCTCTGCTTTGGCGTAGGAGTCTCGATCTTGCTAGTGACTCGTGAGCAGGACTCGCCAATACTATGAATACAGTTGTTACTTCCAGTGACGTTACGGAATAACTTACTGGTATTGCGATTCAAACAAAGGCATGTCGGTGTGTCCATCGGAGTAGGAAGTTGTGTTATCTCACAACAAACTAACGACTAACTGTCTTTCAGCAGCAGCACAAATTGTGATTCACAATGGGCAAACGCTCCCAAATTTATTGAGGACGAGTCTGTGCGAGCCAACTACTCACTATCCAGCTCCACCGTGTCCGTCAACTTAAAACCGTCTGTGGCTACGTCTACTGGTGCCTACGGTTCGCGACGTGGGATCTGGAAACAGCGAGATGCCTCCGATGCGAGGACAAGCCTCAACGACTAAAGATAACGCAGATCCCTTTACGCTACATTTGCGGATGGTGCCTAAACGCAAAAGGCTGTCTTTAATAGTGTAGGAGGTGCATGTAGAAGTTTAGTAGTTGGTCGCTTGTTAAGAGGCCTGTCGTACTTGAGATCGCCGTCATCCTACTTGCTGTCGGCGTAGTCCATGTCCGCCGTGTGCTCGTCATTGTTGTTTCGCGGCGTGCTCCCCTTGGTCTCGTCGTTCTCGTCGTCCTCGATGAACTTGCTGTGCTCCTTGGTCTCTCCGCCGTCGCTATAGTTGTCGCTATCCTTGCTCTCTGCGTATCTGTCGTAGTGATCGCTTGACCACGAAGCGACGCATTCTTCCTCCATAAAGCGCATGGCATCGTCATCCATTCCACAGTAAGCAGTTGCCATTGCGTGGTCATTGGCCAGTAGATGGGTGAAGCGAACGCGTTGGGCAACGCTGAGCAGGTCTACGAAGGCGCGTGTGACTTCAGAATGAACTTTGTCTACTTACTTCCTGGCTGGGAAGGGTCCGCTCACGACGGCCGTGTGCTCAAGGATGCAGTCCGACACAGCTTCGATATCCCTGAATGTAAATTTTGCATTTGGCATTCGTGGCTGTATATCGTATCAACAATTACCTAGGAAAATGTTATTTAGGGGACGCAGGCTACGCACTTAACAGCTACACGTTGACACCATATCGGGGCACGCGCTATCATTTGAAAGAGTTCGGACAGGGGTCGCAAAAACCGCAAAACAATGAAGAACTCTTCAATTTGCGCCACTCGTCGCTCCGAAATGTAATCGAGAGGGCGTACGGCATCGTGAAGAACAAGTTCCCGATACTCAAGGCGATGCCGTCGTACGATCTACAAGAGCAGGTCGGTATGGTTCAAGCATCTTTCGTTCTTCACAATTTCATTCGTTCGCATAATGATCCGTTTGCCGATGCTGAAGCGACGGCACGAAGAAGAAAGGCTGAAAAAGGGGACAGTGTCGGCGACGAAGACACCAACGAGTCCGACCAGGTTGCGATGACAGAACTACGCGATCGCATCGCCTCAGAGATGTGGCGCGACTACTTCCGAAAATACAGTACTGTATTGGATTGGCAGCGTTGGGTAGCCATAATAAAAATTTCAATCTAGCTGCTAGCAATAATAAAAATTGCCGCAATGCATATTGTATTGTTGGTGTTATCTAGCTACGACGTGCTCTGATCCCAGTCACTTGTAGACCAGCATCCACGCCAAATGGGAATATGACTCGGCGATCAATAGGCCAAATAAAGCCAAGCTCCTCCTCGTTGAAAGTCGTTTTTGCGGTAGATCATGCGCAGGTTGCCAGGTCAATCGCGCGAAGCCTACCTAGCTAACTAAAAAGAAATCTCTACCCTCAGCGTTGGTTTTCTAAGCGTAGACTGTGTCAACGACAAACAGATCTGGGCCTTCAGGCCTTGGCCAAGTGGCGCGTAGAAGAAGGCAGTGAGCAGCTTGTTGGAGACCATCGTAGTTGAGTGAAGATGTGATTGTGAGCGCTATACGGCTCAATGTCGCGGCCTTGGCTGAAGATCTCAGCCAACAATTCTGATCGCTGCTTGTGTGGTGTGATGTGCTTCATTTTTGACGTCATGGGGACTTTGTTGTGATGTAATAGCGAGAGGTAGGCTTTGTATCCCCGCCAAAGCATTTTTTACTGTATTTATTGTCAATAATTGTTGCAATACTGTATTGTATTGGATGTCGATAACACCAATAATGAAAATTAATATTGGAAAATCCAATTATTAATTGTTTCGCAATTATTATTTTGGACCTCTGCTACTCGCAGAGAGGGATGGAGAAGTCGTAGTATGCAAAGGCATACTACGTAGTTCCTTACAACTCCTGCTTCATCGCGCTGACCGGCACAATGAAGTACCGCCGTTGGCGTAGAGCGAGTAGGACGGCGAAGTCAAACAGCCTGAAGTGATGGCCATTGATGATTCACAAAAAGATAAATATGCACTTTTACAGATGCTTCTCGTCAATCCGTCAAACGAGGGCTATCCGCCCAAATTCGGGAGGAAAAAATCCGCTGAATATCCGCCAAAAAGATGCCTCTTGTGTTCCTCAAACGCAACAGCGGATTGTGTAATCCGCCAAAACGTACATATCCGCCAAAATGGCCCAAATCCGCTGAAATTCCTGTCTGAGGAACACACCCTTAGTATGCTCAAAGGAAAGGCTGTGTCTTTGCGGCCAAACACTTGGCCAACGCGCTTCGATCGGTAAGCTTCGACCCGGAACCAGAGCCTCGACACTAAAAGCACGGATGCAGGGCTTCAGTACAGTGCGACAATACGCGTGAATTCACCACGACGCGTGCCGGAGTAGCAGTTCTCAAAGCACAGGTTGATAAGTAAATCTTGTTGTAAGTTACATGTACAATTTGCAGCCCGCATCCGTTAGCGATTTACATTTACATTTACAGTAATGCTGGTGCGCCGTGCGAACTTGGCGAGGAACACTGGAAGACTCGGAGGAGACGGGAAGCTCCAGCCTGCCATGGTGAATTACGGTGGAGCTCTGATTTACATTTACAGTAATGTAAATCGCTAACGGATGCGGGCTGCAACGTGTACATGTAACTTACAACACGATTTACTTATCAACCTGTGTAAATCATTTACAGTGTCGTTGAATTCACAAGTTGTGAATTTTCACCAGTTGTGATTCACAACTGGTGAAAGCTTTTGAGATCACGTCGACAGCTGTGAAGGTTTGGGCACTTCTCTTGCTCTTGAGAATCAGCTCCCCATCGTCAAGGACCGGCGGTCCTGTCGGGAAGGATTGACCGCCTGGGAGGTAGTGGGTGGCCATCATTTCCCCTTTTCCCTTGTCCGCGACTACATATACGATAGCGACCATGAGCGGCGGAGTGGTCCATCTTGGCGTGCACGTCGCCCTTGCCGGCGTCCTGCTCGCGTACTTCGACGTTCTGCAGTACAGCTCCTCCGTCGTCTTCCTCTCCATCGTCCTCGCGTACCTGGCGGTGTTCGCTGGTTTCTGCTATGCTGCGTGGCCGTTCGCGTCCTCAGTCGTGCTGGTCCCGTACATCGCCGTCAAGCTGCAGTTCAAGCTCGTGTCGCTGTTGTGTGAGATCGCTGCCCGCGGATTCAAGCCGACGTTCCCGGAGTGGACCATCAGGCACGAGTTGGTCATTTCCATGATGCGGTTTACTTTCGTGGAGTACGGCCACGTCGTGGTGAGCGGCAACGCTCAACGCCTTCGTGATCCCTTCGCCCTTCACGGGAAAATGGTCCTCAATTCCTGCTGCAAGAAGCACAACACGGTGCCGGAGAAGCTGGTGGCCAACGGCATGGAACACATGTGGATGCGCGACCCGGAGAAGAAGCAGCACCGCGTTGTTGTCATTCACTTCCACGGCGGAGGCTACTGCATCTCGGACCCGCTGCAGGACGTCGAGCTGGCGAACGAGGAGCACACGAAGCTCAAGCAGATTCTGAAGGAGCAGTACCAGCTCGACGTGTCTGTGGACGTGTTGCTGGCGAACTACCGCATGGCTCCGGAGTTCCTGTACCCAACGTCATTGAATGACTGCTTCGACATGTACAAGTATGTACTGGAGCACGAGAGCATTGCTCCCAACCACGTCGTGTTCAGCGGTGACAGTGCTGGAGCCGAGATGTGCATCACCAACTGCATGCGAATGCGGAAGGAGAGCCCCGAGCTGCAACCTGCTGCGGCTCTGTGCTACTCGCCGGTGGTGGACTTCAGCGAGACCGGTCATGACGAGAAGACGCCGTATTGCATCCTGGCTGCTAATTTCGCCGACGGTTGCTTGGCTACATACCTGCGCAACGTGACGGACCCGGGGGAGCGTCGTCTGGTGTCGCCGATCAACCACAGTTTGCGTGATCTGCCCCCGATCTTCCTGCAGTGGGGCGACCTCGAGCGGTTCTACGAGCAGGGCATGAGGTTCAAGGCCAAGGCGGAGGCGGAGGGTGTGATGAACATGGAGTTCGACATCCTGAAGAACATCGTGCACGACCCGGTGATGTTCCCGACGGCGGTGAGTCCTGCTGCCGAGAAGGCGATTCGGAACGGATGCGCCTTTGCAGCGAAGCATTTAGCTCCGGTACTCCGGTCTGACAGTACTGACCCGGAGCCAGAGCCGCAGTCGTAAGCTAAGACATAGCTGCGATCCTGATTTGGGCTGGAGCGTTTCTCTTCAGTTCATTCCAATGAACCATCGAGTTGCAAACAAAATGTGCCCCCTGGGGTTCTTGGATCGGTCTTGATTTCGAGTAAAATTGATTGACTTCCGAGTAACAAATCCAAAATACGGATAACGTGAAATAAATCTGAAGAGATAAAAAACGTGATTTCAAGAAACAATCTGGATAATCCGAAAAAAACTCGGAAGATAAATAACGTGGTTTCCAGGAAATCCAGATATTTTTTGAAATAATATGGATTTAATTACGGGATTAATATGGATGCTGCTGAAGTAGCCCCAGAAACGAAGCTCTCTCGTGGTACACGAATGATAATGGTGTCGTACAAACTCCATTTGAGCTCGCACCTATACAGTTGCTGATCACTGTGCTTGAATTCCCGCGTGCAGCAACCACTATCATTGATTACCTTAAAATTTCATATTATCTGCCGACTATCTCCTAAAATACATAATTTATTTTCTGTTCTCTGAAATTTATTTCAGAGTCTACTGGTGTTACCACTTTCCGCGCCATTTTGATATATTAGAGTATAGCATCAACCTCTTTGCTCGAATGCTTCATTAGCTGACGGGTCACCCATTTCTCAAACTTCATAATATTTTTTTTGTTAAAAAACACAGCCATCGCAATTTAAAGGGTCTGATTGTCCGAAAATATTATACATAAGTCTACAAAGTAAACAGTTGTTGAGCCACTGCATTATGAAAAACTCCTAATATCGTATACCTCTAGTCTATATGAATCACCCACGTGAATGTCGACCCTGTCGGCGACGCGTCCATCTTCGCGCTACATGCGAATGTATGTAATTAAAACGGTAATTTATTGCGTGGGTTTTTCTTGGGATAAATACAGGTCTCCCATGGGACGCAACCCGATCTTCATTCGCCGAGCAGCCCCTTCCGCTGCCATTGCAGACACCACGGCGACGCTGCATGGCCTCAATCGCGTAGGAAGCTCGGTGCAGACATGCCGGAGCAGGACCGCTCTGGAGGACGGCACGCCCGCTGAGGGCGACTACGAGCTGCTGGTCGCGTCACCGCCCGAGCAAGAGCGCAACCAGGATCAGAACCAGCACAACGAAGACGACGACGAGGAGTTGCAGCGCCGCCAGCGCGAGGACATGGATATGAACTCGCGCACACCCATCGCCTTTGAGGCGCTGGCAGAGCGCACGCTCTTCTTCGTTGCATGCAGCTCGAGCTACGCGGCGCTGATCGCCGGCAAGTGCCACATGTTCTGGATTCAGGTGCAGATGGCTTCAACAGGGCGCCGCGCGAACCCGTCAACGTAAGCGAGGAGCTGCCGGCGGGCAGCGTGCCCGGCGTGTTCACGTGCAACGTAGCAGTGGTCATTACAGGGTTGTGGGCCGCGTGAGCTTCAGATTCGGCAGCTCGGGGTACAGCAGCGACAACTCGGACGAGCTGCGGGCCGTGGCGCTCCCACTGTTCCAGTCTGTGGATTAGTTCATGAAGAGGGGGAGCTGCCACCATCGCCGACTTGGGGAGGGCGAGGAGAAACGCAGACTGAGGAGACACACGCCGCTCGGCGCCGAGAATTACGAGTTCGGACCCACGTACACTTTGACAATCTGGCGCTGGGCAGCAAGGCGGACGACTACGCTGGTGTCGTGAACACCATGAAGGGGGGTCCATGCGAGGACCCCGTCACGCCGCTTATTCTGGGCACGGCGCCGCCGCTGTTGCACATCTGCCACTCGTACGAGGCCGACGACTCAAGTTGATGTTTTACAAGCAGTTGACAGTCTGTTTTGGTTTCAAAGACGCAGGATTTCGATGAAGACCTGAAGCAGTAATTGCTCATTGAAAGCTTCAATGGAGAGCAACTGGGCAGCGTGTTTCAACTCAATGCCGAAAACACTTGCGCTCTCCTTCATACTTAAGTATTGGCTGGTGAAGATATCGTTCACATTTAATTTGAAGTCATAACTTATTTCATGGTTAGCTGTAGTCAATATGTCAGCAAGTGACGAACGCCACAAGCATAATCGATTTTTTGCCAGAAAATGGCGAGTACCTAAAGCTGGGGAAACCTCGAGCTGCATCAAGAAAGCACATTGAAATTAAAAGTTTGGACTTCACAGGCGACATTTCAGTGCTTCTTCGTGCACAGCACGACTTTGTGCTCTTCTTCTTTTCTTCTTCTTGGTGGTCATGCCGAAATCGGCATATTTTCTTTCTTACACAATATATACGTTTATGCAATGAACTCGAAGTCATTGAGCATATTCGCAAGTAAAAAGCCCGTTAGTACACGACAGTTCATGAATCATGTTTTGACATGATTAAAATCTTTAGATAGTTACAGTAAAATTGAAGTAGAGACTGCAACGATCGCTGTCTACAATTTGGATCCAGCGTCACTACGCAGAAGGAGGGCCACGTGTTTCGCTGCAAAAGCGCAACCATTTCGAATGCCCTTCTCCGCACCAGGACTCACAACGGTTGGCAGCATCACAGGGTCGTGAACCATGTTCTTCAGGACGTCAAACTCCATGTTCGTCACACCCTCAGCGTCGGCCTTGGCCTTGAAACGGAGACCCTGCTCGAACAATCTCTCCAAGTCACCGAACTGCAGGAAGAGAGGAGGCAGATCACGCAGACTGTGGTTGATCGGCGACACCAGACGACGCTCCCCCGGGTCCGTCACGTTGCGCAGGTATGTAGCCAAACAGCCATCAGCGAAGTTGCCTGCCAAGAAGCAGAGCGGCGTCTTCTCGTCGCTGCCAGTATCACTGAAGTCGACCAACGGAGAGAAGCACAAAGCCGCCACAGGCTGCAGCTCGGGGCTCTCCTTCCGCATTCGCATGCAGTTGGTGATGCACATCTCGGCTCCAGCACTGTCACCGCTGAACACGACGTGGTTGGGAGCAATGCTCTCGTGCTCCAGTACATACTTGTACATGTCGAAGCAGTCATTCAATGACGTTGGGTACAGGAACTCCGGAGCCATGCGGTAGTTCGCCAGCAACACGTCCACAGACACGTCGAGCTGGTACTGCTCCTTCAGAATCTGCTTGAGCTTCGTGTGCTCCTCGTTCGCCAGCTCGACGTCCTGCAGCGGGTCCGAGATGCAGTAGCCTCCGCCGTGGAAGTGAATGACAACAACGCGGTGCTGCTTCTTCTCCGGGTCGCGCATCCACATGTGTTCCATGCCGTTGGCCACCAGCTTCTCCGGCACCGTGTTGTGCTTCTTGCAGCAGGAATTGAGGACCATTTTCCCGTGAAGGGCGAAGGGATCACGAAGGCGTTGAGCGTTGCCGCTCACCACGACGTGGCCGTACTCCACGAAAGTAAACCGCATCATGGAAATGACCAGCTCGTGCCTGATGGTCCACTCCGGGAACGTCGGCTTGAATCCGCGGGCAGCGATCTCACACAACAGCGACACGAGCTTGAACTGCAGCTTGACGGCGATGTACGGGACCAGCACGACTGAGGACGCGAACGGCCACGCAGCATAGCAGAAACCAGCGAACACCGCCAGGTACGCGAGGACGATGGAGAGGAAGACGACGGAGGAGCTGTACTGCAGAACGTCGAAGTACGCGAGCAGGACGCCGGCAAGGGCGACGTGCACGCCAAGATGGACCACTCCGCCGCTCATGGTCGCTATCGTATACGTAGTCGCGGACAAGGCAAAAGGCGGAATGGTGGAGAAGGACATGCTGGACGAACCTGCCAGCGTCCTCGAGGATTGAGAATTCCATATTCATATATTCATTCTAGGAGAGTTGGGTGTAGGAACTGAGGTGTTGTTGATGTGGTACAATATTTCTACCACCTAATCTGAGATTAGGTGGTAAAAATATTGTTTTTATAAGATTGCATGTAGTAATCTGAATGAGGACGAGAATCGAACACTGCTTGAAATGTTGGGAACGACACCCACTGCTGAGTACCTATCCATGGATATTCAAGTGGCATCGAGTCGAAATTCTATGAAGCAGGAAGATTTATGGGAAAGCTTTGCGAAAAGGCGTTGCAGCAAGCAGAGATGAAGAACAACTCCCATGAGCTATATATTATCCGCGTCCCGCGTGCAACAAAAACCAACAGACACGCACACGTTTGCACCTCCTCAGGCGTCACTTCACCGTTGACAGTGCTGCAAGGCAAACGAAAACGGTAGGGCCCACTCCACGATGGCAACGTGGATCCAGGCGTCTTCAATAATCACGCTACTGCACATGAATAAACGATGCTCGGTGTGCCGGTGACGCTTGAATGTACTGTACAGAATTCTGCCCGAATAAGGAACGGGTGTATAACTAATAGCCTCACATATTTACTATTATTTTCCAGTCGATGTGGCGATAGGGGGATGTGCAAGGTACTGCAAGGCACTGAGGTACTAAGGTGAAAAATCTAGTGCCAATCATCAGCTCTCCACCCTCGTTTGAAAAATGGCGCGCATTTAGCGGTCTTACTAGACTTCAAACTACATGTACCGTAGTGGTAGACTCGCACTTTTGCTTTTGCACCTCGCCCCACAAGCCCCACTCCACCCATGAAGTCCACACCGTCCAAGCGTCTCCGCCTCACTTAAAATGATGCGACCGGCTTGGTGAAGGGCTAGATAATCCCTACGAGGTCGACCAGTTGACAGCGCTGTTGTGGTGCGAGGATGCCTGGTCAAAGGTTAGTGCTTCGACCATACGTCACTGTTGGAATCATTCCGGACTCGTAGATAAAGCTGCTCTTCAGTTCATTTTGAAATAACTAAATCAGTACATTGGAAAAGTATACTCAACTTAACATCAATTTATATATTCTGCGTCTTTATATATATCAGGCGTTCCTTACTCGGGCAGATTACTGTACCGCGTGAGCATACCGCGCTACCGCTCAGACAAACCTTTGTTATGCACGCACATGCGGTCCGTTGTTTCCCAAACAAATTCGTTTACAAGCTCTCCACCAGATTGATGAAGATTTTCAGATGTTGCGCATCTGTTCGTCGAGCTCACGAACCACCTCACTCCTTATATCTCATGGAGCTGCAATGGGCAAGCTGGTACACTGTATCCATGTATCCATACTGTTGAGACCTTGCCCTTGTCAACCAAAACCATTTCCTCTGCTTCGGACGGTTTCCTCCATGTCCAGGAATAACGGCACATGCTTACCATTTCCCCATCCGTTTCCCTTTCTCACTTCCACGTGGGTGGAGCTGCACTCTGGGTCCTCTACGCCACACCTTCTACGAGTCCGAGCCCGTCTACAGATCTCCCCGGCAAATCAAGAATAGCGATGTCGAATGTACCTCGCAGAGCTAGTACAGCCATGCAGTTGAGATTTGCGCTTTCTGGATAATATGTACTGAGTCTAGTTAAAAGTGGAGGGAGCATGGGAAGCAACACGCACCTGCAAGTTGATAGTTAGCAGGAGTAAAATGAAAGGTTCAAAATGAACTTTAGATAAGTTATTGCTGCAGCAAGATACGGTCATGACGGCATGCGGCAGGGGCGTCAGTGTCTTGCCCTGGACGATGGGGCAGTACGGACATTAGAACTCCCTAAATGACCGTCCCAGGCAGCAGTCTACGCGACGCGATGCTCCGCGAACAAGACAAATCATTCACTACATGTACAAGTACAAACAGAAGAATATCGGCGATATTATATCGCCGACCCCCTTCAAATTGAAGTTTAATGGTGCCTTCGACCGCGCTCTGCTTGAAAACCGAGCCGACGGTACAAGACGAGGCGCTACTTTTCCATTAATTGAGTAATTCAGAACATTGGCACTTTTGTCATGCCCTTTGCAAGTTTCGCAACCTCGCAGTTTCTATTGGTCCGACCTTTCTTGATTTGCCGGGGCAGAGTGTACTTCAAAAGTGGGCTCCCCCTAAAACGAGAGCCAAAAGTCGCACAAAATGGGCTCCCTCATGGTAAGTACGAGATCAAGGAGCCGCTCCCCTCCAGGGCTCCCCAAATTTAGGCTAAATTATTTAGCTTCAAATCTATGACGGGCTCTTCATAGTAATATCTGATTGGCCAATTTTACCTAGACTTAAGGCGAGCAACTTCGCGTGATCGATGCGCCACGCTAGAAGATCGAGCTCAAAGATCGCCACACTAGAAGATCTCGCGCCGCTCATGTGTGTACAGCCGCTCCGAGGCCACCCCAGCGTCGCCGATAGTCCTTCCTTCCCCTCAAGGAGAGGCCCTCTTTCCTATGCCTTTTCAGGTTAGAACCTGGAGATACTTCAATGACGGCCAATCATCAGCGAGATATTTAACACAGGTGAGGGGGAGCCCTTAACGAGGGCTCACAGTTCTGGAGGCCTCCTTTCACTTAACCTATTGAACTCAAGAGCCCAGGAGCCCGAGCTCGCGGCTTTTTGGGTTCACCCAAGAGCCCAGGAGCCCGAGCTCGCGGCTTTTTGGGTTCACCCAAGAGCCCAGGAGCCCAGGGCTCGTAGAAGGTGTGCTCCACAGGTGTGCTCCATCCATGCTCCACAGGTGTGCTCCACACCTTCTACGAGCCCTGGGGAGAGCCGGGCTCCTGGGCTCTTGAGTTCAATAGGTTAAGTGAAAGGAGCCCTCCAGAACTGTGAGCCCTCGTTAAGGGCTCCCCCTCACCTGTGTTAAATATCTCGCGAGCAGCAGGTACACGACATGGAGCTGCATCTTGACGGCGATGAACGGGACCAGCACGGCGTTGCTGGCGAACGGCACCGCCGCATAGCAGAAGCCGGCGAACGCCAGCAAGTACGCGACGACCACCACTCCAACGATGATGTTCACCGCGACGCCGCCGAAGAGAACGATGAGCACCGCGATGATGGCAGCGAGCGCGACGGTGCTGAGCACCGCCGTAGGTGCGGTAGACTTGGCACCAGGCAGGTTCTTGGAGGGCTCGGGATCCAGCGATCCGTAGTTGCCGTCGACATGTTCTTCTCTCCGTCTACGAGCGAGGAAAATGAACTGTGACCACGCACCAGCGATGTCGGCGGGAGACTTCGACGGCGGGAGCTCATGAACGCAAATCGCGGTGCTAAATCTCGCTTTCGTGCCGACGTGGGGGTCTTTCAGACTGCGTCTGCCAGGGTTCGCGACACAGCCAAGGCGGAGAGCACACCACACCTTCTACGAGAGTGCTTACGTACACAGTCTTTTTTGATGGGGGTCGAGGGGGGGTGAATGTGATATAGAAGAGGACCAACGGAGGCTCGCGGTCGCGAGGAGCGTAGCCGCAGCAAACCCGCGCGGGGTGCCCGCGTAGCAGGGCCGCGCGGTATTTGCGGAGGCGGGCCCAGCGACGAGCATTCCAGCTAGCCGAGCACTGTTCTCGCCAGGTGAGAGAATCTTTTTATCGCAGGAGCGCAGCGACTGCTTTTGCGGAGCGCAGCGGAGCAAAGCCATTTCCCGCGGATGACATCCGTCCCGCGGGAAGGTCGTCACATTGTGGGGTGATGGGCTGCATATACAAACTCCAAGATATCACCGAAAATAGACTGTGTACGGAAGTCCTGCGCACCTTCTACACTCCACGACAAAAAGATATGGACACCACCAAAAGTGGCTGTAACTTCGTCAATTTTTATCGTTTTAGGGTGCGGTTTGGACTAGAGTTGCAGAACACGCTGATAAAGATCTGCACGTTGCTAACACGCGCGCTTTTGCGCTTCTTCAGGTAGCTCACATACAAATCACTGGTTCTGCCCAGGTGACAAAACTTATGGACAGCTAATCCCCATACAAAATCCTATATTAACCAAAACCCCTTACAAATGATACAACTTGGACTTTGTATGGGGCGACAAAGGAACCCATGATTTCTCCACTCTACCTTAGTACTGAGCCATATATCATCGACCAACAGTTTAGAATGGAGAAGACAATCGTATATCCAAGAGATAGCAGTATACAGAGCTACAAATTGGCACTAACTAGGATGCAACTGAACGTGCCTCGCAAATCATCAGATAATACATGGTAGCCACCACTCGAAATTTCAGTCGCTTACTACTTGCTCAGTTTTGTGCGATGGTCGATGAATTTATTACAGGTTACTAAACACACCTTCTAGTACACGTTAATGCCATCAGATCTTTGTCTAACGTCGCGAGTATCGCCGTGAGGCTGGTTCCTTTGTCGCCCCATACAAAGTCCAAGTTGTATCATTTGTAAGGGGTTTTGGTTAATATAGGATTTTGTATGGGGATTAGCTGTCCATAAGTTTTGTCACCTGGGCAGAACCAGTGATTTGTATGTGAGCTACCTGAAGAAGCGCAAAAGCGCGCGTGTTAGCAACGTGCAGATCTTTATCAGCGTGTTCTGCAACTCTAGTCCAAACCGCACCTTAAAACGATAAAAATTGACGAAGTTACAGCCACTTTTGGTGGTGTCCATATCTTTTTGTCGTGGAGTGTACGAGCCCGAGCCCGTCTACTTCAAAAGTGGGTCGAGCGCTTCTACGAGCAGGGGCTGCGTTTCAAGGCCAACGCTGACGCCCAGGGAGTCACGAACATGGAGCTGGACCTGCTCGAGAACATCGTGCACGACCCGGTGATGCTCCCCACTGCGGTGAGTCCTGCGACTGAGGGCGTCATCCGCAACGCCTGCCCGTTCGCTGCGAAGCACCTGGCTCCTATTCTCAAGGCTTAAAAGGGCGTTCGTCAGACCCGTTGGAGCACACGTATGAAGGAGCGAACAGAGCTAATTAGAGAAGAATAGATGAGATGAGATGAGATGAGATGAGATGAGATGAGATGAGATGAGATGAGATGAGATGAGATGAGATGAGGTTTCGTGGACATCGAGTGTGATGACGTGCAGTTACGGCATCGTCTTGCTTAGTGATGTACGATCAGCATGATGTAGTAGTGGCAGTCGTGGTCTCTATAAATGCCGGATGACTCCACGTAGTATGAGTCAAAGTGATCAGTAAGCGATCTGCCCTTCTGCAGCTACCGTCCGCACCTTGTCCGAGTCCGCGGCTCTGCAGCGCCGGGGTCCTCGGCGGCTAGCAACGCCAATTCGTCACCTATACAAATATACACCGCTCCACGCGATATCCAACACGCACAACGCCTTGTACGTAGGTGCTCGCACGTGATCCTCGACCCCTCCGCTTCTTATCGGGCCCAGGTAGGCGATAGCTGACTGGAGCTGTCCCTCTGTGAACTGTGCCCACGTGCGCGCACAACTCGCGGGTTCTCCCTTCCGGCGGATGTGTTCGCGGGGTACTGGTCGTCGATGGACGCACGTGTGCACTGTGGCTCTGTGTGCACGCTGATCGTCACCTCGGACCGGGCTCTTCACTTCGACTGCACTTTGACCTTAGTCGACTTGCTACGGCCAACTGCTTCGTGTATTGACGTTACACTCTGCTTGGCTCTACTGTATGAGTTGATCTGTACCCTACAGCGCTATTTCGATACTGACTACACTTTTACTACCATCACTTGGTGGCGTGGGCGCCATGGGTGCCGGCCAACGGCTTCTGACCAGCACACCTTGGCCAATCGTCGGTCTTGGTCGTTGCCTTGGGTGAGGTGGCACGTCGGCGAGTTTCCAGCGTTGCCTCGCTCACCCCTTCGTTCTTCCACGCCCCTTGTGTGCTATCCTCGATGTCATGCTCTCTTCGACTCTTCCTCCGCTTGTTCACCCCGTCGCCGCCGCCGTCTTGACTGCTGCTCGCTATCTTTCGCCGCCGCTTCGGATATCTTTACCAGTACTTGCGTACCCTCCTTGCGTCGTCCGTCCTCGATCCTGTTCCTGTTGTAGTCCTTGCTGCTGGGTCGTCTCTCCTTGAAGCTCTGTTGGTCCTTGGAAGCATCCTGGCACTCAGAGCCTTGGCTACAGTTGCTGCGCGTCGCTCGTTGCACTTTGACGATGGTCATCACGTACACTTCCTGCTTCGTGCACGTGACTGGTACTCGCTAATAGCCTTCTCAGCGCAGCCTTCTCAGCAACAGATGCCACTTTGCGCCACTAGAAATCGACTCGGTGCTTACTGATCCCTTGTTTGAGCCGCTCAGGTCCCCAGGTGTCGACACAACCAACCCACGGACAGTTTTTTGGTTCACTCAAGCAAACCCCAGTTCATTCCATTTCGACAACTCTGAGAAGACCACTACCCCAGCTCTACAGTAGCGAAGGATGCCGGCAGAAACAGTGACAGTGAAGCAGCAGCAAAGCCCCGAGCCAGCAAAGCCTCCAAGCCGTCCATGGATTTCCTGGCTGTCGGCAGCACGTCCGAGGTATTCGATACGACCCCCACTGTTGAAGCGCGAGAGTCAATGGCCCTCTTCAGCAAACGCTTGGAACCTGAAACCTGGAACCGCGCGGTTCCAGGGAAATTGCCTTCAGCATGCTCATTTTTTACCTGGAACCGCGAAAAATGTTTTTTTCGCGCTTTTCCTTGAGTCCAAGACCGAAACCTCGACTCAAAATTGCTCCAATTTGCCGCAATTCAACGCCGGTATCTACAACTACGAGTTCCTGAGTTAAACCTCGATTTGGTTGAAGCTGTCAGGTACAACATCACTGTCCTTGACGATTTCGTCGTTGCTGTGGTGGACTGCAGTTTTACTCAGCTACAGGTCGGCGATGCCTCTATGGCCCGTGTGTTCAATCTAGTACGCTCGCGTACGGACCCTGACGATGTGTACGTGGTCACGATCGCGCTCAGTGTTCAAGACTACGAGATTCGCAGCGTGGGCCAGCTACAGTGGCGACGCTGACGCTAGTAAACGATCTGCAAGCACGCACTTTTGGGCAATTTCACCTGGTGGCGCTTACGTATCCCTACCAACGGATCCCAGAGTTCGAGGTGTATGAGTTTGTTGGGATAACAGAAGACAGCCGCTTGGAGCTACGCAGCATTCCGCAGGACCCACTGGTTAAGCCAGTGAAGCATTTACTAACATCTCGAAAGCGCGGGCTCTATGACGGAGACAACCAATCCAACATTCGGTACATGTATTCACTCCAGGAACTAGATGCAAAGAGTGCGTTGACGCATTGGGAATGGCTCGGTGAAGCAGTGATGACGAACTCAAGGGCTTGGGTGCACGGTTTACACTTAATCTTCGAGTTTTTTCACTCGTGGTTTTGTGCCTGGTAGCATACCAGAACTTGATTTTCGGCAAGATTTGGGTCGGCGACCCTTTTGCGTCGGTATCCACGACAACCAATGTGATATGTGGCGTTCTCGTGGTAATTGCTTGGTACATCGAGTCTTTCTGGGTTCTGTTCGAGTCTTGCATGGCGAATGGCGGCGAAATTTCGACAACCCAAATCGTACCAATACACGAAGAACTGGTACACGCAGACCTTCTCGTTATTTACCTGGGCTTGGTGGCATGTATTAGCTCGGTCGCCCTCTATTGCAATCTTCGTGTTTGAAATCACTCACACGAACCAGCTATCCCTGATGACCTGGTCGGGAGCTGTCAAGACGGTCGTGGCGACCTATTCAGACAGTGTCTTCCTCTTAGGGATTGCGAAAAAACGTTCTACAGTTGCTGATATGGACCCAGTACAGTTCTGGTCGTCCTTCCAGATTCCTACCAAGAAGGATGCGACTTTCCTCGCTGCGTCACTGTTCCCTATCACCTTTTCAATGTGTGCTGTTGTGATTTTTGCTACTTTTCGCAAGATTTACCGACAATTCTACCCTGACGAAACTCTGCAAAGATCGAGTGGTTCGACAAAACCAGGAAATGTGGAGCTTTTCGCGAAGGGAACAGTCACCAACTTTGAGTTATCAACGGGTGCCGAGCTCCAGAACCGCTTCGGACTCATTTCCGACTACAACAACTACGTGTATTTCAAAGGAATGAAGTTCGCATCAGCCGACGGAGTGTACTGCTCAGGATACGTGATCGTCAACAAAAAATTATTGGTAAACACCAAAGATCTGCTGAAAATCCCTCTGATCAAAGCCACGGGGTCCAGGTTCACCAATGTCTACGTGTACGAAGTCGAAGGCAACACTGTCAAAGATACAGCCCGACTGGTATATCCGAACACGTTTGAATGGTCTGATCTCTGGCGTTTGAACGTCATGGTGCTACTCGAAAGACATTACGATGGTAGTCCAAGAATCCTAGAAAAATAAATAAATAATAAAACTCTATTATCATTATTGGCGTTGGCTTCAACGTTGGTTATAATGCATAACGAACTTTGTCAAAAGGGATGCCCGGTAAGCACAAACATAGATTTTTATTCATAGACCGCACACGAGAGTGATCACTTGACTTCCAGACAACTACCTAACAGGCACTACTACTTCAGCCCGACGCCAACGGAACGAGATGCCGCCGTCAAGCGAGAAGTACAAGCCGAAGAAGTCGATCATGAAGATAGCCGTGAAGCCGCAAAAGAGCACAGCTACTCTGGCACGCTCTGTGCATTCGACGGGCGCTTCTCACGACAAAGAGCAACACACCGGCACAGCTGTCAAACCAGCCAAACCTCGGCAAAAAATCTCCAAACGACACCTTTTGATTGTGATACACCGCCTTGTGGTGATAGCGTCTGCGTTCCAGTACATCTTCATCTCCGTGGCCGCGACGTGGCGAACAGTACAGGAACTTCGTGCCATGCCCAATCCGACCGAGGCTTTCGAAGTCTACTCGGCATCACTGATAGCAACATACATGGGGAACGGGCTCATCCACGACAGTCCACTGGTCCAAAACGATTTAGATGGGGACACCTCTCCACGAGACTATGTAGTCTTTCTCGAGTCCGAGACCAAAACGTCCACGGAAGGTTGCTCCGAAGTACCGCTATTTAACTCGGACATTTACAACTACGGCTTCCTCAGCCTCGGATACGATAAAATGGTGAATGATACGGCGTACACCAACACTATCGTGAGCGAGTTAGAGCTGGTGACGATTGTAATCGACTGCAGTTTTACACAACTGCAGCGGGGGGATATTTCAGCTGTTCGTGCGTTCAACCTGCTACGGTCAATGAAGGATCATAACGAGATGTACGTGGCCACTGTGTCTCTATCTGTACAAGACTACAGGATCCGCGCTCGCAAGAAGTCTGGTCCAGCTCTTGTAGGCATGCTGACGCTGGTGGACGATATGCGGTCAGAGACGGTCGAGCGCTTCTACATTGTGGCAACGGCCTACCTATCTCAACGAAACCTAGAACTGCTGGTATACGAGTTTGTTGGGATTACAGAAGATAGTTACATGGAGCTTCGAAGCATTCCACGCGACCCATTGACGGAATCTGTGGATCATTTAATCACCGCGAGGGAACGGGGCTTCTACGATGGCGACGACCAGTCGAATATCCGCTACATGTACTTCTTACTGGAGTCCGACGCCGTGAAAGCATTGACGCTTTGGGAATGGCTGGGTGAACCGGTGATCGCCGATTCTTGGGCCTGGGTACACGGTATCCACTTGGTCTTTGCCATGCAAACCATGTTTTCACTCGTGGTGCTTTTCCTTGTCATGTACCAAAACTTCCTCGCTGGTAAAATTTGGATCGGCGATCCTTTCGCGTCTTTTTCAACCACAACGGTCATCTTACGCGGGGCCATAGTGGTGGTGACATGGTACGTCAACTCGTTCTGGACGCTGTTCGAGTTCGCCATGAGCAACGCAGCGATCCTATCAGGCACCGAAATCATCCGCGTTCATGAAGAACTGGTGCATGCCGACGTTCTGGTGGTGTACCTCAGTGTGGTCGCGATAATCAGCTCCGTGATCCGAGAGCGAATCCCGCCGTCCATTGCCATTTTCCTCTTTGAAATCATCCACAAGCATCGGTTGGTCTTTATTCGGATCTGTCCTCCTGTACTTCAAGAGATCGTCAACTACTCCAACAACGTCTTCAGTCTGGCAGGCTCAGTGGTGTCAAGGGCAAGCGCAGTGCACTTTGCAACGGCGTTCCCGATACCGGAAAAGGATGACACTTTCCTGGCTGCGTCATTCTTTCCCAAGATCTCCATGCTGGGGATGATTGTCGTGTACGCTCTAATGCGGAAAGCCTACTGGTACCTTTACCCTGAAGACAAACGCCAGAAGTCAAGCAAAAGCGTTGCAGAGCAAAGCTCCAATGCAGATGACGCCGTTGTGCTAAAGGGGGACCTGACCAATTTCGAGGTGTCAACAGGAGCCAAGCTACAAGCGCGTTTCGGTGTCATCTCGGACTATAGGAATTACGTCTACTTCAAAGGGATGAAGTTTGCATCGGCCGACGGTGTCTACTGCTCCGGGTACGTGATCGTGAACGGCAAGTATTTAATGCGGTCCGAAGATCTACCGGCAGTGGCGATGATGAAGTTGGTGAATACCCGCTTCTCGAACGTCCACGTCTACGAGGTGGATGGCAACAACGTAAAGGACACGGCGCGACTAGTTTATCCAGACACGCTCTGTTGGGACGATCTGTGGAGACTGAACGTTACGGTCCTGTTGTAATGGAACTTGGTCGTTGCTGTAGTTGCCAACTAAGGCGTCGTCTGGTCCGAAGGGATCAAATTAAATGTGCTGCGTGAGGACTTCAGTTTATTTGCAAAGTCAACCTTCCTACTGCAGATTCGTCGTTGATACAGTTCGTATAGCACTACATTATTAATCTAAAACGAACACAGCGGAATGGTGCTGCTCAGTTCGATCAGAAGCGAGGAAACAGGATAAGAGCAACAGCTTCAAAGGCAGATTGCGTTCGCGAGCTGTTCCAAGCATTGACACCCAAGATAGATCTGTGCCTTGCAGTCCTGTTTGCTAAGTTCGTCTGTTGTGGAGGACGGAGAGCTGTGCGTAATGTCCTATCGAGGCAGCTGTTTCAAAATTCGTTCGTGTTGAGAAAACAACCACACTCTTCCACGACTGAATAGGACAAAACACGCTGAAGAGATGCTTCGACAAGTTTCGGCCCAACGCGAAGCGAAATTGCAGTCATCGCCATCGATGCGCAGGGTAATGGTCAAGCCTGCAAATGGGAGCGAGCTCCACCTGTCACGCTCCCCAACGCCGACAACGTTACCTAGTAGTATGCAAACTGGATCAGCGAGACGAAGCAAGTCGAAGCACAGATTCTCGATGGGGCACACGATGGGATCGGTGCACCGGCTAGTGGTGATAGCGTCTGCGTGCCAGTACATTTTCATCTCCATGGCGGCGACTTGGCGCACGATTCAGGTGCTTTTCGCGACGAAAACTCCCACCGAACCGTTTGAAGTGTACACGGCTTCGCTCATCCCAGCATATATGGGGAACGAATTGGTTTACGACAGTCCACTGGTTCAGGAGGTCTTAGGTGGGGATACCTCTCCACGAGACTACGCGCTGTTTCTCGAGTCCGAGATCAAAACATCCACCGAAGGTTGCTCTGAAGTGCCGCTATTGAACCCCGATATCTACAACTACGCCTTCCTCAGCCAAAGCTACGAGAAAATTGTGACCGACTCGACGTACAACAGCGCGATTTTGAGCGAGTTGGAGCTAGTGACGATCGTGGTCGACTGCAGTTTTACGCAACTGAAGCTGGGCGATAAATCGGCAGTTCGAGTGTTCAACCTGCTACGGTCTAAGAAGGATCACGACGTGATGTATGTGGCCACCGTGTCACTCTCTATCCAAGACTACAAGATTCGCGCTCACAGGAAGTCTGGGCCGGCACTCGTGGGAATGGTAACCATCGTGGACGATATGCGAGCTGAAGCAGTAGAGCAGTTCTACATTGTGGTACTCACGTACCCATTTCAACGAGCTCTCGAGTTTCAGGTGTACGATTTCGTGGGCATCACGAACCAAAGTTTCATTGAGCTCCGCAGCATTCCAGAAGACCCATTGACCCAAGCAGCGAATAATCTAATCATCGCGAGAGAGCATGGGTTTTACGATGGCCACGAGCAGTTCAATATCCGCTACACATATTCCCTGCTGGAATCCAATGCGACCAGTTCAATGACACGCTGGGAGTGGATGGGCGAGTCGGTGATTGCCGATTCGTGGGCCTGGGTGCACGGTATCCACTGCATTTACGGTCTTCAGACGATTTTCTCGGTTGGAGTGCTGCTTCTCGTCATGTACCAAAACTTCGTCACGGGTAGGATCTGGCTCGGTGACCCGTTCGCGTCCACGTCAACGACGATCTTCGTTCTCCGCGGGGTGCTGGTCATGGTAACGTGGTACGTGAACTCGTTCTGGAACCTGTTCGAGTTCGCACTGTGTAACGCCGCCTACCTATCTGGCACTGAAATTGTCCAAGTCCACGAAGAAATGGTCCACGCCGACGTTCTGGTGGTGTACCTCAGTATCGTCGCGATCATCAGCTCCATCATTCGCGAGCGAATCCCGCCGTCTATCGCGATTTTCCTGTTTGAAATCATCCACAAGCATCGACTGGTCTTCATCCGCATCAGCCCCGCGGTGCTGAAACAAATCGTGAGCTACTCCGACAAGGTCTTCAGTCGGAAAGACTCCGTCGTGACCCCAGTACTTGCCGCAATGTCCCCCTTAGGCTTCGGCACTGCGTTCCAGATCCCGACCAAGGACGGCACCTTCCTGGCTGCGTCCTTCTTCCCCAAGATCTCCATGCTGGGCATCATCGCCTGGTACGCGCTCATGCGCAAGGTGTACCGACACTACAACCCGGAGAGCGCTCGCCAAATCTCGGTCCGAAGCGACCGATCCGCGAGCGAACGGTCCGCCATCACGCTGAAGAGCAACCTGACCAACTTCGAGGTCTCGACCGGCGCCGAGCTGCGGACGCGCTTCGGCATCATCTCGGACTACAAGAACTACGTGTACTTTAAAGGTATGAAGTTCGCCTCGGCCGACGGCGTCTACTGCTCCGGGTACGTGATCGTGAACGGCAAGCACCTGATGCGCTCCACGGACCTCCCCGCCGTGGTGATGATCAAGCTGCTCAAGACCCGGTTCGCCAATGTGGCACGTGTACGAGGTGGAGGGCAACACGGTCAAGGACACGGCGCAATTGATCTACCCAGACATGTTCACCTGGGACGACCTGTGGCACCTGAACGTGAGGGTCCTGCTGTAATGTGCGAGACAATATCTTAGCCACAAGTTTGCCCCCTGCATAGAGTGCAATTGCCCGACCAGCCTGCGCGGGGCTGTCCATCTGTAGCCATTTCCCAAACCACTTGCGCTGACTATGGGGAAGCCAACCTGATTTCTCTTGTCTCCGAACTCATTTTTGGAAAAAAGAACGAAAATTACGCGCGCGATGGAACAGCAGAGCAAGCGTCAGCCAGAGGAGCACGAGGTGCTGGCCGAGATCCACCAGGTCATTTCCAACAATCCCGACTTCGGGTCCAAGCGGGTCGCCAGCAGCCTCAAGAGCAGCAACCCGGACTGGCACATCGCCGACAAGCGAGGTGCGTTCAATACACGCGCCACTGAGAGGGGGACCCGACGATACACAGTTGCCTCAAAGGGAGGATGCGCGCATCTCATTCCTCCCCACTCCATTCCCCCTCTTTCCGCCGGTCAATTCATCGTCACTAACTGCTGCCCTCCCGCTCGTGGTGCATGTTCGCAGTGAGCAAGCTCCTGAAGAAGTACAAGTCGTCCTCCAGCATGTCCGAGAGCAGCCCGTGGAACGTCGCGCCCGCCGCGGCCGCCAGCAGCCCCGAGGCGGCCAGCCCCTGGGCCGTGTCCCCCTTCCAGACCAGCAACCCCTTCAAGTCGCCCCCGCCATCCGCCGAGACGGAGCCCGAGCCCGACGTCGTCAGCTCCGCCGTGATGGAGGACCTGCCGTCGCTGCAGAAGCAGCCGCAGGACGAGGCGCCCACCGTCGCGTCGGCCTGGACCTCGGCCCCCGCGGCTGAGGAGCCCGCGCAGGCGTCGCCCTGGACGACGACGGCCACGGAGCAGGCGGAGCAGGTGCAGGAGGCTGTGGAGGAGGCCGTGGAGGAGACCCCCGCTGTGATTGAGGAAGTTGCCGCGCCTGTGGTTGAGGAGGTTGCCGAGGTTGTGGTGGAGAAGGAAGTGGAGCCGGAGGTGCAGGAGGAGGTCGTGGAGACGACGACGAGCGCCTGGACGACGGTGCCCGTGCAGGAGGAGCAGCCTGCCAGTGCGTGGACGACTGCGCCTGTGCAGGAAGAGGCGGCCCCCGAGCCGGTTGTGGAGCAGGCTGCGGTGGAGGAAGAGGTCGTGGTGGAGGCCGAAGCTGTCAGCGAACCTGTGATGGAAGAGGTCGCTGTTGTCGAGGAGCCTGCTGCTGTTGTCGAGGAGCCTGCTGCTGTTGTCGAGGAGGTTGTTGCCGAGGAGGAGGCGCCTGCTGCCACGCCTAGCGCTTGGACCACTGCCCCTGTTCAGGAGGAAACCACGTCGAGCGCGTGGACGACTGCGCCTGTCGTGGAGGAAGCTGCTCCCGTGGTCACGGAGGAGGTGGAGGCCGTTGTGGAAGAGCCTGCTGTTCCTGTTGAGGAGGTTGCGGAGCCGGTGGTGGAAGTTGCCGAGGTCGAGGAGAAAGTCGTCGCAGCACCGGTGGAGGAACCTCCTGTCGTGGAAGAGACCCCCGTCGAGGAAGCTCCGGTTGAGCCCGCCAGCCCCTGGACTGCTGCGCCTGTCCAGGAGGAAGCTGCCCCCGCGAGCCCGTGGACTGCCGCTCCCGTGCAGGAAGAGGTCGTGGAGGTTGCCGCGCCTGTGGAGGATGTTGTGCCGGTCGAGGAGGTTTCGGCTCCTGTTGTTGAGGAAGAAACACCGGCACCAATCGAGGTTGTGGAGGAGGTCGCACCTACCCCGGTGGTGGAGGAAGTGGCCGTCGAAGAGGAGGCCCCGGCAACTAGCGCCTGGAACACGACCCCGGTTCAGGAAGAAGCCACCGTGCAGGAGACCCCGGCTGTGGTTGAGGAGGCTCCTGTTGTCGAGGAAGCGCCTGAGCCCGTAGTGGAGACGCCTGAGCCTGTAGTTGAAGCACCCGAGCCTGTGGTTGAAGCGCCTGAGCCTGTTGTGGAGGAGGTTGCCGCCGTCGAGGATGTGACCACTAGCGCTTGGAACACGGCACCTGTGCAGGAGGAGGTTGTGGAAGAGGTTGCCCCCGTGAAGGTGGAGCCTGTGAAGGAGGAAGTGGCTGCGGTTGTCGCTGAGGTCGCTGCTCCCGTGGAGAAGGTGGCTGCTGTCGTCGAGGCCAAGGTGGAGGAGGAAGCCCCCGCTGCGTCTTCTGCATGGAATACCGCTCCGGTCCAGGACGAGGTCAAGGCCGTGGTTGCCAAGGTCGAGGAGGTGGTCGAGCCCGCCAAGGAGGTGGCTGCGGAGCCCGTCCAGGAGCCTGCCGCCGTCGAGAAGAAGGAGGTGGTCGTGGAAAAGGAGGTCGCTGTTGTGGAGACCAAGGGGGCGCCCGTTGCCGCTGTCAAGGAGGTGGTCGTGGCGACGGAGGCGGTGGTGGAGGACGCCAGGATCGATAAGAAGGCCATCGCGAACGCCTTCGACGGCGTGGCCAGCTACAAGACGGACAGCGTGGCCAAGGTCACCAAGGTGCCGAGCATTGAAGCCGCCGCGGCTAAGTCGGCGGACGCCCCTGGCGCTTGCGGCGCCTGCGGCATCGCCAGCTGCAGCATCATGTAGTGTGCCTCCTTCCTTAACTTTAGTTCATGCCGCCTCGGTGGCTGTCGTAGCGCGGCGCTCGCGCCCCGGCGCAGCGCCAAAACAGACTAAGAAAAAAAAATTCATCCGCTTGATATTGCCAAAAGTATCCGACTGCGTGGTGTCGAGTCAGAGAATGGATTCAGTCGATCCCACTTCAACTTCTGGATATTCTCTCTTGTGATTGGCTGGTGTGTACCACCCTAAACCATGAAAATCAGTTGGTGAGTTCCCGATCTTTTCTGCTCATTTGCAGATTCGCCCCAGCTCCGCTAGATCTCCCCTCAAGTTACCTCTATCCTCATGTCGGACTCGCCCTGGAACGCCGCCCCCGTGCCTGGCCAGGAGGCCCCGCGCGCCCCCAAGCCCGCTGCGCACGCGCCGGCCGCCAAGCAGGAGGAGCACGTGGTGTGGAACGCCGCGCCCAAGCCGAACGCCACCACGACCGAGAAGATCAAGGACAAGACGCGCCACGCCGTAGAGGACGTCAAGGACGTGGCCGCCAAGGTGACGAGCACCGTCGAGGGCTACAAGAACGACAGCGTGGCCAAGGTGAAGAAGATCAAGGAGGAGCGGAAGGTGGCCAAGGAGGAGAAGAAGGCCGAGAAGAAGGCGGAGAAGAAGAAGGAGAAGAAGGCGGAGGAGTCCGCCGGCGCCTGCGGCCTCTGCGGCTGCACCGTCATGTAAGAAGGCCCGACGAGAATCGTTCTCAGTTTTTTTACAGGAGTGTAGCTGAGGTAGTAGTAGCCGTAGAACCTCCCTTCCTCAGCTGCGCTCAAACGCCCCCGTCGACGTCCGTTGCTTTAAACAACATGCCGTGGTTGCGCAGTGTCCTTCAGTGTCTTCTGGCTTTCCGTTGTCTTATCCTCCATGCGCTCTAGCAACAGGATAGCGTGCGCGTTGCCCGCCGCGAGCCGCCGAACGTGGCGCCCAGGCTGACGAAGCCACCCTGGATTCAGGCCGTCATCACCCTGGAATGGTGATTTATGGCGAGCTGTAGCACCTCGGGGACCCCAGTACTGGACGGATCCGTCTCGACACAGCGCCAACGTGAAGTGGTTGCCACACGCCAAGGATGAGACGTCCACTGTCTCGTCACTCGAGGATGCTGAAGGGACGTTCACCACGCGAGGAAGCACTTGCGTCACGCTGGCAGCTTCGTGGCCCTGGTAATGATATACACATTCATACGCGAGATGGAATCAGTGCACGCACGTGGAGGTGACGAGGGCGCCAAGGACGCACCAGTTGGCCATCCTTTCCCCAGCCCCATGTGTAGAGATCCCCAGACGCCGTCAGCGCTGCGCAGGACAAGTTAGCCAACGGGAAGTACGTTGTCAATCTACCGGGTGCCTTGCTTTACCTGCCGTGTGCCAGTTGCCGCAGGCAACCTGGACAGCTTCGCTGTCGACTCCTTGGAGTGCGTCCACCACCACAGGCTCCACCTCGTTCTGCGTGGAGCCGTGTCCAAGCTGGTTGTACAACCCCCAGCCGAAGGTGAACACCTCGCCGGATGTCGAGACGAGCGCGCTGTGCGCCCACCCAGCAGCGATATCCCGGACACGGATTTCTGCAGACAAGGCGACGCGCCTGGGCGAATGCTGTGTCTCCACCTCCGAGTTGATGCCCAATTGACCAAATTCATTGCAGCCCCACGCCCAGACGCCGCCGCTCGAGTCCAGCGCCAGCGAATGCATGCCGCCTGCAGCCACCTGCACGATCTGCACCGGCGTCGGGAACTCGACGACCGTAGGGACACGCACAACGTCTTCACCTGCAGAGACTGCAGCTTGAGCCGACGCGTTCCACCCCCAGGCCACGACGCGACCCGAATCCGTCAGAGCCAACACGTGGTTTGAGCCGCAAGCCACCGCGCTGCATCGCTCGCTCACCTGGAGCGTCACCACACCCTTCCCCACCGCAGAATCCGCCGGCAGCTCGCCGTAGAATGCGCGGCCCCAACCGACTACCTCGCCGCTGTCAGCCACTACGCCGACCGTGAAGGTGTCGCCTCCGTCCACCGCCACGAACGCCAGATCCGGCGGAGAGAGACACTCGCCGAATAGACCAGCGCCAACTACATCATCGGAGCCCACCGGAAGGCACTTGCACTCCATTTCGACCAATCGTCGCAGCCATTCAGCAATCTTCCGCGTCAAGTCCCAACTTGGGCCAAGATGCAGCATTGCCACGACGAGCACTCGGCTCTCGGCGGCCACGACCATGGCCACGACCACGACCATAACCACGACCACGACGACGAGGTGGAGGACGCCAACGGCGACTCGCTCTACCCCTTCATCGACACCAGCAAGGTGCGCGTGCTAAACGCGCTGGACCCGGAGGCTGCGTCCAACCCGTTCAAGCCGTTCCACGAGCGCCAGGACCACTCGCGCTTCTTGATCAGCAACGAGGACGACCCGGAGATGATCCTGTTCATCCCCTTCACGGAGGCGGTGAGCATCAAGTCCATCTGCATCTCGGGCAGCGCCGGCGACGGGGAACACCCCAAGGCGGTCAAGCTGTTCACGAACCGAGACGACATCGACTTCTCCAATGCCAACGAGCTGCCGCCACAGCAGCGACTGGATCTGATCGAAGATGAATCGGCAAATATCGACTACCCACTCCAGTACGTTCGCTCTGTGTTGGAGAAGATATATATATTAGGTAGCTGACATTGTGGTGGTTGTTGTTGCAGGGTGCGCAAGTTTCAAGGCGTTAGCAGCGTGACACTTTTCTTCGAGGACAGCTACGGAGGCGACGAAACCAAGATCTATTATATCGGCCTGAAGGGTGAAAGCAAGAAAGTACGGGCTCATCACTGTGATGAAAAGAATGGATACGTAGCAAAACTTGGCTAACATTGATTCTATTGCGCACACAGTGGCGCCATGGCGTCGTCGAGTGCGTGTACGAGGCTCGTCCGCAGCCATCTGACCACAAAGTCAAGGATACGATCGGATCCACGTCGCTCATTTAGTCCCGAGTACCAGAGCGACCAACCGCCGCGTGGACACACCGTTCAGCGTGGCTCATTTAGCCTTTTAGTCAAGAGTCTGGGGAGATCTGCAAAGTCTGCACACCCTGCTGCAACCGCAGGAACTCTAGTAGCGCCTGCTCTGCTTGCGAGGCCTTTTGCTCTTCTTCCTTTCGCTTCTGCTCGAGCCCGTTAAGCATTTCGTATAAATCTCGAGCTAAGTCCCCAACATGCTTTTCTGCCGTGGCGTTTTCATCCCCGTGGACTTCATATTGCTGCTCTTGCTCCAATGTTGCATCCTTGGCTGTATCGTCACCCTCCCTTTGACTTTGTTCGCGATTTCCCAGCGAGGTGTCTTTATCAGCCTCCTTCTCTTTCTCGTGTTCAGCAAACTCGAGATCAAGCTCGTCAAAGCTTTGGGGTTTTGAAAACGATGCACCATTGATTGTGTGAGAAGAATGGAGGCTTGACTTCTCTTCGCGCTGTTCATCCTCGAATTTCCCCTCCTCGCTTGCCCTGCTCGAGCCCGAAAAGCCAGGATCTGACAGTCTCGCCATGCTGCTCTCGTGTCGTATTGTACTTGTGCTAAGATCCATGGGTCTTGGGGTCGCTGAAGCAGGCAGCTTTGCGTGTTCATCATGCAGAATAGAAATCTCGGACGCGCTGTCGATAAAAGTTTCCCAGTCAAAAGGCTCATCGTTAGTGTTAGCGATGGCGCTGGCATGATTCTCACGTAATTCCGTGCCAAGTTCTCGGGACGATGTGCTAAGATCTCTGGAAACAGCATCCAGCGCCATAGCTTCACTTCGCCTGGTTGAGCTGGAATAACTTCGACGGGGTTTATCACCATGGGGGCTCCTACTCCTGTTGGCGGCCCCAACCTCCTTTGAAAGATTAAAGTGGCTCTGTCCTGCCGACGACGAGAAACCGTAGGATCCCTGCGATACCGACAGCTGGCTTCTTGATAAAGAGGAACCGAGTGCATCACTTTCAAATTGGCGATCATCGTCAAATATGCCATCGCTCCATTTAGCGTCATCCCCAGATACGGAATTGCTTTCCAATCCACTGGTATGCCCTGAAAGTGGACGCGTCGAGCCGCCCCTTGTCGTCGATTGTCGTGCACTAAACGTCTGCGCTAGAGCTTCGTCTCGCTTCTTCAGCTCCTGCTTCAAACGATCGATCTCCCGGCGCAACCTTTGCTCATTGGCGGCGTTGTCCTGTTGCAGCCGGTCTATCCTCGTTGCGTATTGCGTGCGGATGTCGTTGATATCCTTAGTCTGAAGCATATCGATTTCAGACCTTAGTGCCTCCACCTCGGACTCAAGCGACTGGCACTTTTCGGACAGCTCGTCGATTTGGTCCGCAAAAACATCCTTGGATTCGGTCGTCTCTTCGAGCAGTTCGGTCAAGCGTTCGCGGTCCAAGCTCAAGCTGTTGACTCGCTCGAGCAAACTTGCATTCTCCTTCTCCAAGCTCGCAATGTGGGCTTGGGCCTCTCTGATACGATCGCTGACAAGACCCAGCTCTTCGTCCTTGGTCTTGTCGTGTCTAGCCAACGCTGACTCCACTTCATACAGCTTCCTCTCCAGACTCGAATGCAGGGCTGAGCGTTGTTGAATCTGCTTCTCAAGCTGCTGAATGTGCTTCCGATCCGCTGCAACTTTGCTGTCATGCTCGCGTTGCGTCTTCTTGAGTAAGAAGTCCAGCTCCTTACGCAGCAACTCCTGGTTGTGTACTTCTTCCTGTAGAGCTTCAGCCTGCTTGGTTGCTTCCTGCAGCTTCTCGCCCCGAAATGCCAAAATGGACGGCGCCAAGTCCATGGCATGGCTCGTGTTCTTCTTACAGCAGTTGTGCCACACAAAGTGAGAGGCTGCTGCCGCCGTCGCCCTCTTCTTCGAGGATCCTCTCGAATGCAGCAAGTCGTTGCGCTCCTTGACCACTTGCGCCGCGTATCGCTCGAGAAACTGCTTCTTCTCCCGCTCGCTCGCAGCCTCGCGGTTCAGCAGACGCACATGGCCTTTGACCTGCTCCATATCTTGCTCAAGTGTGGACGCGTACAGCCGCAAGTGCGTCGCCAGCATCTCCATCTCCGTGTAGCGCGGCAGAATGTGCAGCACATAGCCCAGTAGTCGCTGCGGATCCGATGTCGGGGGCACAGGAGGCAGCTCCAGCGCCGTCAATGTCTGCTCGACGTCATGCCACCCGCTCGCATCCTGCCCAGCCGCGGCAGGAGCGGCGAAGGCGCCATCCATGTCGTCTTAGGTATGTCAAAGCAATAGTTGCTCAAGCAAATGGAAATTGTTTTACGACTTATACCCAATCAACTTGAAGCTTGATTTAGACCAATGAGAGACGGTTCCACAAGTTGAAGTGACAATCACTCTTGGAGTTCCGCACTCGGCGCATTCTTCTCGAGCGCCATGGACGACGACTGCCGCATGAGTGAGACGTCGAGCGTGCGCAACCGCGGTCAGCGGCACGCGCCGTCGACTATGGGGGATCTGGACGGCGCGGGTGACGCGTCCCCGCTCTCTGCGTCGCACATCCGTCCGCAGCTGCGCTGCAACTCGTGCTGGGAGCCGATCCTGCCCGACGCGCAGTCAGCCGAGACGTGCTACCGCACCACTTGCGGTCACCTCTTCTGCGTACACTTGCTATCGAGCTAGGGGGCATGGGTCTTTGCTTGCTCTTGGCACTTATTGATGCTCTCTGAGGCAGGAGAAATGCGCGTACAAACACTTCGGACAGGGAAGACTGCAGTGCCCCGCTTGCAGTGCTGGTAAGTGACACAGCTAGCCTCAACTTGTAGAGCGTAAGGAACTAACCAAGTATCATGCTGCATACGCCGTGTGATTGCAGATCTGAGCCAAGGGTAAGTTTTTTGTAGGCGAAGTGGACCTCTGTCACCGATACTTACCGCTCTTTGGCATGTTTGTAGGGGTGGAGGCATCTCCGAGACGTAAGAACGCGAAGAAAATGGTTTGCAGGGCTATTCTCACCTTGTTGGTGGAGATACAGGACAATCCATGGTGTTGCGGATCCTAAGGTTTGTAAAAGGATGCATTCAACACAGGCACCACCAAAACTAACAAACAAAACGATGAAATGTTGATGTTCAGAGGACTGAGGTATAGGATTAGGAAGTTTATAGGGTATCTTCAGAGTGCTGACCCCACTATGCAGGCCATTTGGGAAGAGATGATGGCAGACCCATCGTCGTGTTTTGGTAATTTTTTGTTGCTGCTGATTTCTTTTTCGTGGCCACTTTTGACTTTTTTGTTTTTGGTAGAGCACTTCCAGCAGGCTCTCGGTAATGTGCATTCCGTTCGCGTGCTCTTGGCGCATCATCGATATGTCTACTAACGCTGTAACCAACCAGATTTCATCTTGGTATGTAGCTCAATGCAAGGGCTTCGTCGCGAATTGCTAACAATCTTCGTCTGCAGTTCCAGTTAGCCCAAGATTCCTACAGGTACGTGATATGGTTTTGGTTTGAGATAATGGTGGTAAACTCAACGTTCACTCTGGTGAACTGTGCACAGACAAGTGCGTGTTATTGTAAATTTCGTGGCTTAATTGGAGCTAATCACAAGCACTTCCTGCACTTCCTTGCTGTATTGCCTGAAATCGCCTCGCAGGAGGAAATCAGGCGCCAACAAGGTAGGCTATATCTCCGATTAGCTCGTCATGGACAAACAAACGCTCATAAATTTCATCTGCAGCGGAGGAGCAGAAGACCTTTCAAATTCAGCATGGAGAAAAGTATATTCAACTCAAAAATTACACGGACCAGCTTGAGGCAGAGCTGCGCGAGACGAAGTCAAAGATGCAGGCGCTAACAACTTCAAATGATGAGCTTCGTGAGGTAAGTTCCGACACTACCATTTCATTCATGTGTGCGTATTTTTTCATCTGATGACCTTATTTCCTCCTAGGCGTACAAGGAGAAATCGCGAAAATGCCGCAACTGGGAGAAAATGGCAATCACTCGCAATATGCATTGTGTCATCTAATGGTGTTGATGGAGCTAACGTTAGACTCTTCAGTGCAAGACCCTCAAAGCGCAGCCTAGTGCTCGACAATTTCCGTCACCAACGCGCTCAACAATGGGAATGCCTCAACAAGATGGCGGTACTCTCGTAACGCAAGCCAGCCAATTTAGCCGTCCTTCGATGCGTCCTATTGCAAGGCCCTATGCAGTTGATGGATCGAGTTCGTCAATGCGCAACCCGATGGGAAATATGGGAAGACCAGAGACCCCTCGCACAATTCAAAGACCCAACGTCGGCATGTTCGACCGGTTTTCAAGACCACAGATCGGTACGTAGCACGTTCATAAGAATTCGGTATTCAGGTCTAATTTTTTTGCGGTAAGTAGGAGGGTCATCTCGCCCGATTCAGCCACTGGGAGGTCAAAGAACCCGGATCGTGCGACCGAAAACACCGCTGCAAGCTTCTCAGCGTATTGGCTTCCTCTCGAAAAGGTAAAGTGCATGAGCAGAAACTCCCGTGGACCTCATCAGCTCACTAACTCCCTTTAACAGGCCCACTTTCCGAATGTGAGGCAGATTTGAGTCACGGGCGGATGAAGTATCTCCAACACAGCTTGAACGTCTTTAGTTAGTCGATGTGCCTCCTGCGATCTATTTTCAATTCATTTCAAGGTGGCAAGTTTGCTACCATTGCCGAGAACGACACGAATGACGAAGCCATTGTTTTCACCTGACAGCGCAATCCAGAGGGCGAAGCCACTATTCGAGCTGTCAGACGCAGCCGTCGAGTTAAGTCGCAGCCGTGTTAAGAAGGTCCCCGCTAAGATTGTAATTCCCGCCCCGGTTCAACGAAACGTGCCGTTCGACTCCGACGCGATATTGGAGGCTGTAGTTTCCGACGGCCTCGGTAGTAGAAGCAGCCACGACACTCTAACAAACCTGAGTTTGGAACTAGCTGACTACGAGGACCTGTTCAACGATTCTACTTCGTCTCCGACCGATGGTGGCATTTCTGCGTTGTCTCCAACCGATGATAAGCGTCAGTCAAGGAGAAAAAGCGCGGATACTCTTGGTTTCGAAAGCGACACAGAATCCAGTGGAGCATCGATCGTGCTGGCGCCGTTGAAAGCCCCACCCCAGGTATCACAAGAGTTTCGAAAATACCCAAGGAGATCTCAATTGCCTCACTTCATTTCATGGTTCATTGGTCATATTTGTATGAGCGTGCAGAGAATGAGTCGAACTCAACGGATGCGGTCTGCCCCTCGCGTTGCTCAGAGATACCAGTAACGTTGACGTACCTGAACTGCATGCTCCGCCACGGTGCTGACCTGTGGTTGTACCGTCAATTAGGCTCCGCCATCCAGACCAGTTGATCGCAGAAGCCACCGAGAGGAGGCGGCTCACTGATGAGGTACTCATGCCGATTTAGTAGACACTCAACCGAGCTTATTTGCTAACTTCGGATACATGCAGATTCTAGAACTCGAAAACCATCGTAGACGTAAGGAGGAAGAGCTGAACAGGATTTACAAGCGCGAGAAAGAAGCAGAAGCGCAACGAGGTAAGACGAGTCTCGAAAATAATGCATTGGCAAGCACTCAATTGTGGTTGAATAGTGGGTACCCCAGCGAACAGTCTGAAAAGCATCCGGACTTACACTGCCCCCAAGAAGATCAGAGTATGCAATCCACCATTCACCAGCGAACTGCTACTCCGGCACAATGACCACAATGACCATTAGTGAATAAAAAAACTTGTTATTGCGAGAAACCATAAACATGCCACACCAGACGACACTACACGCCAACAGCGTCTGACGGACGGCGTAGCTGCTTCGATCGCAGCATTCGTCACCGCCGTTTTCATAACGTGGTCGCAATTAAGAGCAAACTAAATAGGAGAGGAGTCAGCTGTCCCGACCTGAACAGCAGCGATCTTGACGGGCTCGACACGAGCCTCTAATAGATAGGGGAGACTAGCACGCTCACACCGTGAACTTCTTGACTGCATGCATCAAACCGCCGATGCGTTTCTGCACAGCAGCTGCCCTCGCCACCAGACGTCGGAGTGCCTGCGTGAAGTCAGTGTTCTGCTGCTTGCCCACGTTAGCCAGAATCAACGTTGTTCCGTTCGTACGGATCTGTTGCGTCGTTTTGGTCAGCAGCTCCAGCTCCTTCAAGACACGTGCAGCCAACGTCGAGAACGACGGCTTCTTCAAGCAGCTTTCGATTCCCTCCACGAGCGATTCAATCTCCGCTAGTTGTGAGGCCAGCGTCGTATACTCCGGGTCCGTCACACGTTTGGCCAGCTGCGCCCTCACCAATGCGCTGTCGGCAACGCCGTTGCCAGCTCTTCCATCCGTCCACGCCAACCTCTCCATGCGTCCATTCAGTGCGTCATTGTCCACGGAAGATCCTCGCTTGAAGTGGAACCTCACGCCGTTGTTCTTCTTCCTCTGCGAAGACACCTCAGGGGACGACCTCTGCGGTCTGAAGACCCTCGTGGCTCGCTCCTTCTCCAGGATCTCCATCATCTTGGTCTCCTGCGGGGTCGCAGCATTGTTCGTCGGGCTATCCGACAGTCTCGAATGTTCATTCTTCCTCACTGACTCCGCCGGGTAGGTCCTTCTGCCCGAGTACATGAGCGATGCATCCTGTCCTTCCTCGACTGCAGCAAGTCCTGGGCCGCTGTCTCGTCTCGCCAAGAAGCTCTTGGAGATGCGAGCCTCCAGTCTGTCGGTGCAGGACGACCCAGACCGAGACGACAGCTGCGTGTCGAACACGTCCGTCAGCCTCTCGGTGCTGGCCACCGACGCGTCATCGTGCAGCACTGAACGCACGTCGAACATGGAGTCGCGTGCAGCTCTCGACGTTCTTCTGGTCCGCGGTGGCGTCGCGCTAGGGCGCGTCTGCTTGCGGTGCTGCTGCAGCGACTGCAGCATTCGCTGCGACACTGTGCGCGGTGCCGGCGGCGGTGGAGACACGCGCGCGGGAGGCTGCGAGTGCTGCAGGCGAGCTTCGATCTCGGCGTCGATGTCGCGCTCCACGACGTCAAAGTCCGAGGAGAAGTCGTCGTCGTCGTCCATGTCGTAGGAGGCCAGCGGGCCGGCGGACACGGGCTCGCGGTAGTGCGGGCGCCGGTAGTAGCCGCCCTGCAGCGCGTCGTACCCGTGCAAGTACGCGCTCATCGAGCCGGTCGGTCGGTCCTGCCTTGCCTTGCCTGTTATCAGCGCTTTTGAGTTGTGTAGAGGAAATTTTGACTGGCGACATCGCACTTAGGATGAGATGCCTGTCTCTTGACGGCGCGCGATCAGAGGGAAAGACTGGGGGCAAGTTGCCTTGGCGGCAACGTCCGGTCGAGCCGCTGGCAACCTGCAGCTGATGTGATGGGCCCCTGCTGCAGTTGTTCGGCTGGCCCAGCAACGTGTATTGTGCGCGCGGAGGAAGACGCCTTGCTTCCTCGCCAGCGCCGACAGCACTGCCTGCACAGCTTCATGCATGGGGCTATCGATTGTCCGTACATCGATCGGCGACCGGCTCGCCGACGCACCCACCCATGCAAATCGACGGGCTCCGTGCAACCCATTCGTTGCCTCGCTGGCCGCGCTCTCGCCGGCGCGCATGGCTGCGGTTGAGCAGCGAGCTTTGCGGCTTCGTGCGCCACTGCAATTCGAAGCGCTACGGACTGCCCCACGTCGGAACATTGCAGCCAACAGCGGAGACAAAGGCGAGGAAGGTTTGATTTCACCGACGCGGTCTACGATGCACGACAGGACAGGCAGCCTCATCAGAGGCAGGCAGGCTCAGCAATCGCGTTCGCGTCGCGACGACACGGAAGAAAGCTGACTGCACGCACACAGCTCCTGGCCAGCGTAGCACCTGGAATTAGCGGTGGTGAGCCTGCAATGCAGGGAGCTGTCATGCGAAGAAATCTTATGAGGCAACAAGACGGAGCGCGTGACACACAGCTGCTACGTTGATTGATGTAACGGTCACAACTTCAACTCGAAGATCATCACTCTTTGACAAGTATCCGAAGAGCTACGTGTTCATACAACCTCTACCTCTGCGCGCAGCACCGGCGCCAGGTGCTTCGCTGCGAAGGCACATCCGTTCCGAATCGCCTTCCCCGTGGCAGGGCTCACCGCTGTCGGGAGCATCACCGGGTCGTGCACCATGTTCTTCAGGATGTCGAACTCCATGTTCGTCACACCTTCCGCTTCCGCCTTGGCCTTGAACCTCATGCCCTGCTCGTAGAACCGCTCGAGGTCGCCCCACTGCAGGAAGATCGGGGGCAGATCACGCAGACTGTGGTTGATCGGCGACACCAGACGACGCTCCTCCGGGTCCGTCACGTTGCGCAGGTATGTAGCCAAGCAACCGTCGGCGAAATTGGCAGCCAGGATGCAATACGGCGTCTTCTCGTCATGACCGGTCTCGCTGAAGTCCACCACCGGCGAGTAGCACAGAGCCGCAGCAGGTTGCAGCTCTGGGCTCTCCTTGCGCAGTCGCATGCAGTTCGTCATGGACATCTCGGCTCCAGCACTGTCACCGCTGTGGTTGGGAGCAATGCTCTCTTGCTCCAGTACATACTTGTACATGTCGAAGCAGTCATTCAATGACGTTGGGTACAGGAACTCCGGAGCCATGCGGTAGTTCGCCAGCAACACGTCCACAGACACGTCGAGCTGGTACTGCTCCTTCAGAATCTGCTTGAGCTTCGTGTGCTCCTCGTTCGCCAGCTCGACGTCCTGCAGCGGGTCCGAGATGCAGTAGCCTCCGCCGTGGAAGTGAATGACAACAACGCGGTGCTGCTTCTTCTCCGGGTCGCGCATCCACATGTGCTCCATGCCGTTGGCCACCAGCTTCTCCGGCACCGTGTTGTGCTTCTTGCAGCACGACTTGAGAATCATTTTCCCGTGAAGGGCGAACGGACCGCGCAGCCGGTGAGCGTTGGTGTCTGCGACGACATGGCCGTAGTCCAGGAAGACGTAGCGCATCATGGAAATGGTCAGCTCGTAGGTGAGGGTCCATTCGGGGAAGGTCGGCTTGAAGCCGCGCGCAGCAGCATTAAACAGCAGCGACACGAGCTTGAGTTGCATCTTGAGTGCGATGTACGGGACCTTCATGAATGTTGTCGCGAATGGCCACGCAGCGTAGCAGAACCCGGCAAAGAACACCACGCAGAGAACGAGAATCACAGGCACCAGAACAACCAGAAGCGCGAGCGAAAGGATGGCCCTCAAAACTCTAACACAACTCCCGGATCGGGTCTGACGTTTCTCGTCACCGCTGAGCGAGCCATACGCAGTATTAGCTGGCGCCATCTCCTCTTCCCCCTCCGCAGCAAAATTGACTCTGAGCACCGAATTGCTCGGCACTCACCATTTCCTCACCAATCGTCAATGATATCCTGGATAGCCCCTGCCTATTCGGGTAGTCGCCAGGGCAATTGTTTGGTCTTTGCAGAGTGAGCAGCTTAGAAACGAGTCGACGGAAGTGATCGCTTCAAGCTCCCTCCATGCAAACTACGGCTGCGTCCTCGAAGATTTATAGTTTGATGCATCGAGAGTTTGACGTAAAGGCCTCTCCTGTGCGCACTATCGTCGCGTGACACTGCTTTCAGCGGCACAAGTTTGTGGTCATTCAATTGTTTTGATTATTTAATAGTTCAAGAGAAGTTTAGAGGCTTCACGGGTCTTTCAGCTCCGCCTAAGCCTTCAGAATAGGAGCCAGGTGCTTCGCAGCGAACGCGCAGGCGTTGCGGATAGCGCCTTCAGCAGCGGGGCTCACCGCTGTCGGGAACATCACCGGGTCATGAACAATGTTCTCGAGCAGGTCCAGCTCCATGTTCGTGACTCCCAAGCGCAGCCCCTGCTCGTAGAAGCGTTCGAGCGTGCCGAACTGCACGAACGTCGGGGGCAGGTCCTTGAGGTTCTGGTTGATAGGCGACACCTTGAAGCGCTTGTTCGGGTCGTCCACGCTGCTCAGGTACGTCTCGAGACTGTTGTCCAGGAAGTTGGCGGCGAGCAGGCAGTGCGGCGTGATGTCGTCACCGCCAGTCTCTTCGAGGTCGACCAGAGGCGAGTAGCACAGCGCAGCGGCAGGCTTGAGCTCCGGAGTCGTGTCGCGCAGACGCATGCAGTTGGTGAGCGTCATTTCGCCTCCAGCACTGTCGCCGCTGAGCAAGGGGGCGATGTTCTCGTGCTTCAGCACGTACTTGTACATGGTGAAGCAGTCGTCCAGAGCCGTCGGGTACAGGAACTGAGGAGCCATGCGGTAGTTGGCCAGCAGAACGTCCACGGACGCGTCGATCTGGTACTTCTCCTTGAGAATCTGCTTGAACTTGGTGTGGGTCTGGTTGGCGAGCTCGACGTCCTGCAGCGGGTCAGACACGACGTAGGCGCCGCCGTGGAAGTGGATGACCACCACGCGCGTCTCCTTCTTCTCGGCGTCACGCAGCCACATGTGCTCCATGCCGTTGGCCACCAGCTTCTCCGGCACCGTGTTGTGCTTCTTGCAGCACGACTTGAGAATCATTTTCCCGTGAAGGGCGAACGGACCGCGCAGCCGGTGAGCGTTGGTGTCTGCGACGACATGGCCGTAGTCCAGGAAGACGTAGCGCATCATGGAAATGGTCAGCTCGTAGGTGAGGGTCCATTCGGGGAAGGTCGGCTTGAAGCCGCGCGCAGCAGCATTAAACAGCAGCGACACGAGCTTGAGTTGCATCTTGAGTGCGATGTACGGGACCTTCATGAATGTTGTCGCGAATGGCCACGCAGCGTAGCAGAACCCGGCAAAGAACACCACGCAGAGAACGAGAATCACAGGCACCAGAACAACCAGAAGCGCGAGCGAAAGGATGGCCCTCAAAACTCTAACACAACTCCCGGATCGGGTCTGACGTTTCTCGTCACCGCTGAGCGAGCCATACGCAGTATTAGCTGGCGCCATCTCCTCTTCCCCCTCCGCAGCAAAATTGACTCTGAGCACCGAATTGCTCGGCACTCACCATTTCCTCACCAATCGTCAATGATATCCTGGATAGCCCCTGCCTATTCGGGTAGTCGCCAGGGCAATTGTTTGGTCTTTGCAGAGTGAGCAGCTTAGAAACGAGTCGACGGAAGTGATCGCTTCAAGCTCCCTCCATGCAAACTACGGCTGCGTCCTCGAAGATTTATAGTTTGATGCATCGAGAGTTTGACGTAAAGGCCTCTCCTGTGCGCACTATCGTCGCGTGACACTGCTTTCAGCGGCACAAGTTTGTGGTCATTCAATTGTTTTGATTATTTAATAGTTCAAGAGAAGTTTAGAGGCTTCACGGGTCTTTCAGCTCCGCCTAAGCCTTCAGAATAGGAGCCAGGTGCTTCGCAGCGAACGCGCAGGCGTTGCGGATAGCGCCTTCAGCAGCGGGGCTCACCGCTGTCGGGAACATCACCGGGTCATGAACAATGTTCTCGAGCAGGTCCAGCTCCATGTTCGTGACTCCCAAGCGCAGCCCCTGCTCGTAGAAGCGTTCGAGCGTGCCGAACTGCACGAACGTCGGGGGCAGGTCCTTGAGGTTCTGGTTGATAGGCGACACCTTGAAGCGCTTGTTCGGGTCGTCCACGCTGCTCAGGTACGTCTCGAGACTGTTGTCCAGGAAGTTGGCGGCGAGCAGGCAGTGCGGCGTGATGTCGTCACCGCCAGTCTCTTCGAGGTCGACCAGAGGCGAGTAGCACAGCGCAGCGGCAGGCTTGAGCTCCGGAGTCGTGTCGCGCAGACGCATGCAGTTGGTGAGCGTCATTTCGCCTCCAGCACTGTCGCCGCTGAGCACCACGTGGTTGGGGGCGATGTTCTCGTGCTTCAGCACGTACTTGTACATGGTGAAGCAGTCGTCCAGAGCCGTCGGGTACAGGAACTGAGGAGCCATGCGGTAGTTGGCCAGCAGAACGTCCACGGACGCGTCGATCTGGTACTTCTCCTTGAGAATCTGCTTGAACTTGGTGTGGGTCTGGTTGGCGAGCTCGACGTCCTGCAGCGGGTCAGACACGACGTAGGCGCCGCCGTGGAAGTGGATGACCACCACGCGCGTCTCCTTCTTCTCGGCGTCACGCAGCCACATGTGCTCCATGCCGTTGGCCACCAGCTTCTCGGCCACCGTGCCATGCAGGCGGCTGTTAGCCTTCAGAATGGACTTGCCGTGCCTTTGGAACGGGGTTCGAAGCAGATGAGCGTTCTTGTCAGCGAGGAGGTGGCCCTGTCAGCACACGTTGAACGCATGACCATGACAGTTAGCTCGTAGGCCAGCGTCCATTGTGGGAATCTTGGCTTGAATCCACGAGCCGCATACGCGAGCAGGAGATACAGGACGAACAACTGCAGCTTGACGGCGATGAACGGGATCAGCACTGGGGTACTTGCATACGACACCGAAGCGCAGCAAAAGCCGACGAACAGCACCAAGTACATGACAACGGCCACCGCGGCGATGATCTTAACGCCAACGTCGCCAAACTGGTTGATCATCAGCGCGATGGCCGCAGCGAGCACGACAGTGCTGAGCAACACCTTGGGTGCGGTCGACTTGGCTCCAGGTAGGTGCTTGACGTTATCCGTTTCCACGGATCCGTAGGTAGTCGGCATCTTGTCTTTTGTTCACGAGCGAGGAGAATGAACTGTGACCACGCTTGGTTGGGCGCTGGCGGCGAGATGGGGACCCTGGTCGCAAATCCCAAGTTGTATCTCGCTTTCGTATCGACGGGTGCGCTCGAGGTATCTTGGCGTCATGTGACGCCGTGATCCACAAGCAGCGGCGAATGTGAAGGAGCTACATTAAATGTAGTACATTTACTTCGAAGATGTCAATGATGAAAGGGTTCAACTCACTAAAAAGTAGTTGATCGGTCATTCGTCTTCTCACAATGGGGGAGTACCGCGTACAGTGCTACTGTACTGTTGAGTTCATACTATGAACTTCATAGACGTCTTCATCAATCGGAGGCAACTTTTTCTTGAGTTTAGAGGCACACGCACAAATTTGGACAAATCTGCTGCTTGCGATGCTCAGAGTGTTCATCTGTTTGGGTTGCAGCTTGATGCGACTTCAACTTGGGGCTTTCGATGTGAGCATCGAGATCTGCACGTTTGGTAATTACCGTAGATTGCAGGCCATCTCCCGTAATCTACTCGGGTGTGTGTGTGGTATCTGTCGTTGGACCGGATGAGCGATGCACTCTATGAATTTAACCGAGCATCTAGAGCAGCACAGTCAGATTCAGGCGCCACAGATCGCTCCACGAGAACGTTTCGGGGAACACCAACCGAGCTGTGTCTTTGACCGTATTCCCATCCACTTCGTACACATACACGTTCGTGAATCGCGACCGTAGCAGCTTGATCGTCACAACTGCAGGCAGCGCTTTCGATTTGATCAAAAACTTGCCGTTTACAATCACGTATCCTGAGCAGTAGACACCGTCGGCTGATGCAAACTTCATGCACGTATCCTGAGCAGTAGACACCGTCGGCTGATGCAACCCTTGAAGTACACGTAGTTCTTGTAGTCGGAGATGATACCAAAGCGAGTTTGTAGCTCAGCACCCGTTGAGATCTCGAAGTTGGTAAGGTTCCCTTTTAGCAAGAGCGCCGTCTTCTCATTTGCCGACTGCTCAGCGCTTTGGCTCGATCTTTGGCGAATTTCTTCAGGGAATATATAGCGATAAACTTTGCGTAGGACTGCATAGAACGCAATGGTCCCGAGCAACGTGATCTTGGGGAAGAAAGAGGCTGCTAGAAATGTGCCATCTTTTGAGGGAATTTGGAAGGCAGTCCAGTAATTGAGCGGGGACATTGCTTCAACAACAGGGGAGACGTTGGAGTTCCTCAAGCTGAATAAACTATCGGAGTACTCCACAACTTCGTTCCGTACCGCAGGTGACCCACGAATCAAACTCAATCGGTTCTTATGGATAATCTCGAATAGGAAAATTGCAATTGACGGGTCGATGCGCTCTCGAATTGCAGCACTCAATAGAGCAACCAGGCCGAGATACACCACCAGAACATCAGCGTGCACCAGCTCTCTGTGAACGCGGACAATGTCCGTTCCAGAAACTATCGCGGCGTTCGACATGGCAAACTCGAAGAGCGTCCAGAACGAGTTCAGGTACCACGAAATGACGACGAGGACACCACGAAGTACCAAACTAGCGGTGGAGACCGACGCGAAAGGGTCTCCAATCCAGACTTTGCCAGCGAGAAAGTTTTGGTACGTCACTAGGCTCAATACTATCAGAGAAAAGATTGTCTGCATACAAAAAATGAAGTGGAGGCCATGCACCCAAGCCGACGAGTCCGAGATCACAGCTTCTCCCATCCATTCCCAACGAGTGATCGCTTTCTTCGCGTCGGACGCATCCAGCAATGTGTATGTGTTACGGATATTCGACTGTTTGTCTCCGTCGTACAGCCCCCGCTATCTTGCAGTGAGTACATACTTCACTGGTTGCGTTAACGGGTCCTTCGGAGTGCTTCGTAACTCGAGGAAACTCTCGTCCGATATCCCGACAAAGGAATAAATCTCGAATTCGGGTGTACGTTGATAGGGATATGTCAGCGCCATCATGTAGAACATCTCAATGATACCTTGCCGCATGTCTCGCATGACCGAAAGGATACCGAGCAGAGCTGGTCCTTCTTTCTCGTGCTCTCGGATCTCGTAATCTTGAGCAGTCAGCGACACTGTGACCAAATATAAATCTCTCGAATCTTCACGCGAGCGCACTAAATTGAAGATCCGCACAGTGGAAAGATCTCCGGCTACGAGCTGCGTGAAGCTGCCGTCTACCACCACAACGACAAGCTCAAGATCCGCCAGGGTAGTCGTATTGTAGCTAGTGTCGTTGATCATACTCATGTAGCCGTGGGTCATGAAGGCGTAATTGTAGACATCGGGGTTGAACAGTGGCACAGCCGAGCAATTTCAGTCGAGGTTTTCGTCTCAGACTCGAGATAAATGATGTAATCGCGAGGTGTGGTGTCTCCGTTCAATACATCTCGGACCAGCGGACTGTTACGTACGAGGCCGTCGCCCATGTAGCCACCAATAAGTGACGCAGTAAAAACCTCAAAAGTCTCCGTCGGGTTGGGCATCGACCGCAGGGTTTCCATCGTGCGCCACGTCGATATCAGGGAACGCTGCAGCGGCGGCCTCTTCCCTTTGGGCTCCACGGACAGTTTTACGATCGACCTTCGCGATATCTTCTCGCGGACGCTAGAGACCGACAGCATATTGCTCGGTTAGTAAGAATTGCTACGACTGATGATGAGGACGAGTTATCGACTGCCACAATCCGAACGTGAGATTTGGCAGCTTAAGAGCACGAGACAACTCCAAGCTCAGTCTATTTGTTGCTCGAGCGGCAAGATGCAGATGAAACGGATACGACTATCTGTGGCCACTAATAGTTCTTGGAGCGGAAGTTTAGACCTTCAGTCAACACGAGTCATACGAGTAAATAAATGGAAGGTCTCTAAAGTCTGTTTAATGTTTGTCCTGCTCTCTTCCTTACAACAGCACTGAGACGTTCAGCCACCATAGATCGGACCACAAGAACGTCGTCGTGTGCACGAGTCGCGCCGTCTCCTTGACAGTATTGCCCTCCACTTCATACGCGTAGGCGTTCGTGAACCGAGCGTGGAACAGCTTCATCATCACGATCGCCAGCCAGTCCTGCGAACGGATCAGAAACTTGCCGTTCACGATCACATACCCCGAACAATAAACGCCGTCTGCGGACGCGAACTTCATGCCTTTGAAGTAGACGTAGTTGTTGTAGTCCGAGATGAGGCCAAAGCGAGTTTGCAACTCAGCCCCCGTGGCGATCTCAAAGTTAGTGACGATCCCTCTCAGGGTCATCGCAGCCTTCTCGTTCCCTGAAGTATCGGTGCTGTTGCTGGACCTTGGGCGGGCCTGCTCCGGGTAGCGGTAGTGATAAATCTTGCGGAGGATGGCGTACCCCGTAACGATCACAATCAAGTACATCGTTGGGAAAAACGACGCGGCAAGGAAAGTGGCATCCTTGGCCGGGAACTGGAACGAGGACCATAGTCGAAGAGGACACATTGCAGCAAGTGCAGCGGTGACCTTCGCGATGCCAATGTTGTACTGAGCTGAAGAGTACGTGATTACTTCGTTCAGAACTGCGGGCGACGAGCGAACAAACGTCAGTCGGTACGTGTGGATGATCTCGAAGAGGAAAATGACGATCGCGGGGTCGATCCGTTCGCGGAAGATGGCGCTGAGAAAGCCCACTAAACTGAGAAAGATGTTGAGAATATCTGCATGCACCAACTCCTTGTGAACGCGCACTGTGGGCACACTCGTAAGAATCGCAGCTCTCGACATGGCGTACTCGTTGACCGACCAGAAGGAGTCGAGGAACCACGACGCCAACACTAGCAGCCCGCGCATGACGATGCTTGTAGTGGACACAGTCGCGAATGGGTCCCCAATCCAAACCTTCCCGGTGCGGATTTTCTGGTACGTGACCAGAGCGAGGATGACAAGGGAGAAGATCGTCTGCAACCCGAAGAAGAAGTGGATGCAGTGCACCCAAGCCCACGCGTCGATAGTGACGGCTTCTCCCGTCCACTCCCAGCGCGTCACGGCCGATTTGGCGCTCACTCCGCTTAGTGTCGAGTACATGGTGCGGACATTCGACTGGCTATCCCCATTGTAAAAGCCCCTCTTTCTGGCCGTGATCAAGTGCTTAACGGGTTCTGTCAGTGGGTCCTTCGGCACACTGCGCAGCTCGAGGAAGCTGTTGCTTGTCACCCCCACAAACTCGTACATCTCGAAGTCCAGCGAGCGCTGGTAGGGATAAGTGGTCGCCACCATATAATACTGGTCCACATGGTCCGCGTGCATGTCTTGAATCAGCGTGAGCATGCCCACGAGCGCTGGGCCTTGCTTGTTGAGCACGGGAACTTGATATTCTTGGACAGAGAGCGAAGTCGTGAGCAAGTTCAAGTCGCTGGGGTCGTCTTTCGAGCGCACCAAGTTGTAGACCCTCACCTCGGAAGGATCGCCCTCAACCAATTGACTAAACGAGCAGTCGACGATTAGTACAACGAGCTCGAACTTGTCCAGCGTGGAGATATTGTACTTGGTGTCTTCCACCATCCCGGCGTATCCGTCGCTGAGGAACTTGTAGTTGTAGATGTCCCCATTAAACAGATCCACCTTGGAGCAATTCTCAGTTGAGGTCTTCGTCTCGGACTCTAGGAACAGAGCGAAATCTCGAGGTGAAGTGTCACCGCCTAGAACGTCTTGAACCAGTGGACTGTCACGAAATAGGCCATCGCCAACGTAACCTTCGATCAGTGACGACGGGAAGACTCGTAGCGTCTCCGTTGGGTTCGGAGCACCGGTCAGCACCTGCAGCGCCCACCATGTCGCCGTCATGGACGTGTAAATGTACTGGACAGCAGCAGCCACCGCTGCCAGTCTACGCGCGATGTTGAAAACCTGCCACTTGGCGATAGTCGGCTTGGTTCTGGCATGCACCATGACGATCTCACTCTCACGCGTAGCGACAGTCGAGTCGATTGAGGTGGTGCGGGGCCCTTTACCACTCAACGCTTTGCTGCCAGGCTGCACCCGTGGCTTCGTCATGGTTAGGTGTTGGGTCTTGTCGTCCAGATGAAAACTGACCGTGCTTCCCATTCTTTAGCTTGTGCCCCACGGACGCATTTCCTTTGTGACACCCTCACGTTTCTCTACGGTGGCGAGGTGATGTTCCTACTGCTGCATCATGTCACTGCTTGGGATGAATGAGGTCTATTGTTGCTTTCGTCTTCGTTTCGAATTGAGCGTTGGATGAAGTTGTTGCGGCTTTTTGGGCCTGCGATCGGGTTGACTATACCTTGAAACGGACGCCTGCCTTCCTTACCCTCCATGCCTGCCTGCCTGCCGTGTCTGCCTGAGTTCGCATTTCTCCGGCAACTGGTCAACGTCAAGGGCGTCCGTGAGCTATGGGGCCCGATGGGAAGGTCATGGTATCCAAGCCTGGGCCAGGGATCGGCGACAAGCCCAAAGTTACCCATGACACCCCGTTCAAGCGAGGTCTTCGACACGTCCATCGACTTCTCGTGTTCGGCACTGCGATGTGGTACGTCGTCATCTCCCTGATGGCGACAGACGCCTCCCTCGTGATTCTGAAGGACCAAGCGCACTACGACAGCGGCATCATCCCGCTGGTGTCTCCGTTGATAGCCGGATACGCCGGGACAAGCTCCATTCGAGAGAGTCCACTCGTGATGGAGACGCTGAAGGACTCGACCAAGCCCTTCGAGTCCGGTACACTCTTCCTCGTCTCCAGCTCCAGTACGTCGTTTGAGCAGTGTGCGAAAGTCGTCAACAGCGACGCGGTTAATGTGTACAAGGACTCGTTCTTGCGGTGGATCTACGACGATCTCCAGGAGAAGACGGCGTACAACATTTCCCTCTTCAATGAGGTCGAGCTGGTGCTGCCAGTCGTGGACTGCGACTTTGCTGCCATCGACGGCGGAGGAGCTGCAGTAGCCCGCGTATACTACCTCGTGCGCTATAAGACCGACACGGACCGCATGCTGCTGCTCCCCACGTCGATGTCAATTCAAGATTACTACATCGCAGAGCAATACGAACGCGGGTCAGCGCTTCTGCTAGCGTTCTCGGTCGTGGAGGACATGCAGTCGACTCTGGTCGACCACCACTTCGCTATAGCGCTGGACTACCCGTACGAGTACAAGCCGGACTTTGAGGTCTGCAACTTCTTCGATCACATGGATACAGGCTTTTGGTCGCTTGAAACGATCCCTCGCGACTCGTTCCTGAGACCCCCGAAGCCCATTCTTTCAGCCCGACAACTCGGATTCTACCTGGACAAGGAGACTTCGCAAGTCAATCAGATCAATTTTCATTGGGATCCTCCGGACGACGCGTACTCGGCGTTGACCGACTGGAACTGGCACGGAGATGCCATCATCCGAGACAACTGGGCCTGGGTGCACATCATCCACCTGCTATTCGCTCTGGACGTGCTCTTTCAGTTGAGTCTTCTGCTCTTCCTTGTGTTCCGCAGTCTCCGACAAGGGCGACTCTGGATTGGAGACGCGTTTGCCTCCATTTCCAACGCCTTGCTCTATCGGGGCATTTACGTGGTTATCTCTAACCATGTGAACGGGTACTGGACCCTTACAGAGTTCAGTCTCGCACTTGCTAATTCTATTGGCGGCAACTCCACCGTCAAATATCGCTCCGATATGGCACACGCAGATATGCTCACGATTTACCTGAACCTCGTGAGTATCCTGAGCTACGTCCTACGAGAGCGGGTGGATCCGATCTTCGTTATGGTTTGCTTCGAGATCGGCTTCTACAGTCGCGAGAGTATGGCGACCATCCTCCCTGCTCTCCAAAAGCTGATCGTCGACTATTCCAACACGGAGAGTGCCTACGGTCAAGTCGAAGTAGACGACTTCTTGGCGAATCTATCGCCAATGCGACTCTGGACCGTTCATCCAATCCAACAAAGTGTGTGGCCGCTGCTGGTCGCCACGTTCATCATCATTTACTTGACGCTCATCGTCATTGTCGGGTACATGATCGTCCGCAAGTTGATCCAATGCCACTCGTCGGGATTCCAAGTCGGCGACCCGGATTCGGACAGTAAGAGCACCACCCCTCGACGCCAAAGCTCCGGACTCTTCCGTAAGAAGTCCCAGCCAAGGGAGCTGATGCAGTTCGAGACAGCTACGGGATCGGTGCTCAAGAACCGCTTCGGAGTGCTCGCAAGCTACGACAACTACACCATGATTAATGGTCAGCGGTTCGCATCGGGCGACGCGATCTACTGCAACGGTTTTGTCGTGGCGAACGACAAGTTCGTGGTGGCCACGGAAGATTTGATGTCGCTCATCATCATGAAGCTCACGCGCGCGCGCTTCACCAACATCTATGTGTACACCATCAAGGACGGTACCGGCGTGAACCAGACGGCTCGGCTCGTGTACCCGTCCACGATCTCCTGGCATGATCTGGCAAAGGTGAGTGTCAGCCCCCTGTCTTAAGCATAGCGAGGTTACAGGCAATGCATGCTGCATATGAAAAATACATCTGAATTTTCATGGTCTCTAGCTTGATGAAGCTACGCGAGGATGTTGATGTTGAGGCGGAAGAGGTCGTTCCACGTGAACGTGTTCGGGTATACCAGCCTTGCTGTGCGTTGGACTGTGTATCCATCTACCTCGTAGGCGTACACGTTGATGAAGCGCGTCTGCACTGCCTTGATCATGGCGATGGTTAGAATATCCTCCGTCGCAACAAGGTACTTGCCATTGACCACCACGTAGCCCGAGCAGTACACGCCGTCGGGGGACGCGAACTTGAGTCCTTTGAAGAAGACGTAGTTCTTGTAGTCGGAGATGAGTCCGTAGCGCGTCGTCAGTTCTGCACCAGTCGAGACTTCAAAGTTGGTGAGATTCCCCTTCTGGGCAATGGCTGCGCGCTCGTTCGTGGATCGATCCCCGCTTCTCCCCGTGATGCTGGGGGCTAACGGGTCTGGGTAAATGCGCTTGTAGATCTTCCGCACCACCACAAAGGAGATCAACGTGCCCATGAGGATGTACTTCGGGTAGAACGACGACACCACGAACCCATTGTCCACAGAAGTAAGCTTGTCCGTAGTCCAGAGGCGCATCGGGGACATCGCCTGCTGTGCTTCGGTGACAGCAGCAATTCCTAGTCGGTATTCTTTATCCGAGTAGGATCGGACCCTCTGAAACACTGCAGGAGCCATCTTGACGATCGGCTGGCGGTTGTCGTGAATAGCCTCAAACAGGAACACTCCAACCATAGGATCAATTCGTTCCTTTGCAATGTGGCCGACAAGCCCGAATAGACTCAAGAACATCACCATCAGGTCTGCATGCACGATTTCCGAGTGAATCGGAACGAGTTGGGTGCCCGTAAGGTCGTTGGCGTTCGAGATGCAGAACTCCAACAAGGTCCACTCGCCGTTGACATACCAGGACGCAAACACGAGCAAGCCTCGAATCATGAGCGTGCTATTGGACAAGGCCGCGAAGGCGTCGCCGACCCAGACTTTCCCCTCGCGGACGTTGCGGTAGACAATGAGCGCCAGCACACTGAGGGAGAAGATGGTCTGCACGCAGAAGATCAAGTGGATGCTGTGCACCCAAGCCCACGAGTCGAGAATGACTGGTTTTCCTCTCCATTCCCATTGCGACAATGCTCGCGCTGGGTCGGACTCCTCCAGTGTCCATACGAGGTTTCGGATGTTCGACTGCTCCGACTCAGCCCCCAAGTAGAATCCGCGTCGCCGTGCAGTGAGCACCGTCTTGACAGGGTTCACGATCGAGCTTTCCGGGATACTCGTGAGGTTCCAGTAGCCATTCGTTGAAATGCCCTCGAGCGTGTACACTTCGTAGAGCGGGTCGTGCGTGTAGGCATAGTCCAATCCGATGACGATGTTCTGGTCCACGGTGGTGGCGCTCATATCGCTCACAGTGAAGAGCGTCGTCACAATGGCTGGTCCGAACCGGTTTGCCTCAGGGATGCGGTAGTCTTGAATCGATACCGAGGTGGTGAGGAGCTGTACGTCTGACGGATCGCTCTTCCGACGCACGACGTTGAACACTCGAAGCAAGGACGGATCTTCCTCAACCAGAGGGGGCGACGTGCAGTCGATGACGGGCACTACAAGCTCGAAGTCAGCTAGTTGCGTGAGGTTGTAGGATCCTCTGGCCACGATGCTGTCGAAGTTGGCTCGGAGGAATGAGTTGCTGTAAATATCAGCATTAAACGCCTCGACTGATCCACACTTCTCCGTCGACGTGGCTGTCTCGTTCTCGAGAAACAGCGCGTAGTCTCTTGGAGTCGTGTCACCCTTGAGCGTAGTTTGAACCAGCAGACTGTCACGGATTAGCCCGCCCCCGACGTATCCGAGTATGAGCTCGGACTCCATTGTTCCGAAAGACCTCGAGGCGATCGGATCCCCTCGTAGCACCTGGAACGTGACGATTGTTGCGCGCAGGTAGTTGGTCAAGCACATGAGAGCCGCTCCGACGCCCATGATGCGCCTGATGAGGTTGATAATTTGCGACTTCGTGATCCGCTTCTTCTTGGACCGCTGACCCCCGCTCGCCGTCCTCACGGTCGGAGCGGCCGGCGCGCTGTTCGAAACCCTGGCACCTTTCGTCGGCGTCACGTGCGCGCCCGCCCCCATTTCGTTTCTCGTGAACTTTTTGGTGGAGTTGCTCGAAACTTTGAGGGTAGTTGGGGCTGGTCACTGGTCTGTTTGGAGGCCTCTGGAGGAATGGAGAGAAGCTGTTGTGTGGGCTGTGGTGGGTCTTAAGACCGCTGGACAAGACAAGCAAGAATAGCTTTAACAACTGTGAGACGATGGTTTTCTAAAGCTAGCGACAGTACTTGCCCACTTACCTCTTGGTCTGAGAAGGCCTGACTGAGTGCAACGTACGTTTTGTCCCATTCCGGGCCTTTTGTTGCGTTGATGAATATGGGGTCCAGTGCTTAGCATAAACCAGCAAGTCTCGGTAATTAAAAGTTGTTTAGCGCGAATGCGGGTCCGTTTCCCTATGATCGGAGTGGAGCTCAGCAGTAAACAATTTGTGAGGCTTAGATGATGCTTTGGTGTACGGTCTCGATCACGAGAGCACGGTCACGTCTAGGTGCATGAGGTCTGTCCAGGTCAGTGTAGTCGGATACACGAGGCGCGAGGTCTCATTCACAGCGCAGCCGTTGATGATCTCGTACACGAAGATGTTGGTGAAGCGGATGCGGATGAGCTTCATCGTGATCAAAGGGATCAGGTCTTGCGTTGCCACGAGGAACCTGTTGTTGGCCACGAGAAAGCCGTTGCTGTAGACTGCGTCGATTGTAGCCAGGAGCTGGTTGTCGCGCATGATGTAGTTTTCGTATCCAGAGATCACTCCGTAGCGCTTCCTTAAAGCCGCACCCGTCGCCGACTCGAACGAAGTGAGATCAATCTGCTGCAAGCCCTCAACCATGTAAGCGGTTGAGCGACGCCGCCGAGTCATTCCGTGGTCTCCGCCGCGATCTTCAAGTCGAGAAACTTTACGAACTATAATGTACCCGACAACGAGAACGATGGGGCTGAAGATCGAGATCACGATCGACGAGACGACGTAGATGCGGTTGTCCGGGATCTCGTACGACGTTAGCAGCTCCATCGGAGAGAGACCTGCCAGTCCAGCGTTCACTTTCAGCAGACCACGAGTAGTGTCTGCTATAGCGAAATCCGCGATGTTCTCCCTCAGAACCGGAAACAACTTCGCCAATTCCACGCGGTAGCTCCATCCCAACTCGAAGGTCAGAAATGCCAGCAAAGGGTCGACCCGTTCTCGAGCGAGATAACTCAGTAGAGTCACCAGATTCAGGTACACTGCGAGCAAGTCGACGTGCACCAGTTCGGGTCGGTAGTAGATGACATGCTGATCCGTGATGGAGTCGCCGATAGAGATGCACATCTTCGTGATCGTCCAGTACCCGTTCAGATGATTGCACACAAGCACCAACACGCCGCGATACAGCAGCATGTTTGAGATCGTGGTGAACGCGTCGCCCACCCACACGTGGCCAGCGCGGAGGCGTCGATAGATCACAAAGAACAGCACGCTCAAGTCGAAGATGACACGGAGCTCGAAGATGCCGAGGGTTGCGTGCGTCCAAGCCCACGAGTCGAGGAGTACTGCTCGGCTGTACCATCTCCATTCTCGCAGCTCTGATGCCGGGTTACTTGATAGCTCCAGTCGCGCAGTCTCGATATTCGACTGCGACGTTGGATCACCTTTGAAGCGGCCAAACCGGCGAGCCATGCGCACATGCTTTGCAGGGTCCAAGGTGCGTTGGTTCGGGAGAGTTTGCAGCAACCAGTAGTTGTCGCCGTCGACCCCTTCGAGCTCTGAGTATAGAAACTCAGGGTCAGCCACATACGGGTAGTTGAGCGCAACAGCGATGTGGTAGTTAAGTGTTTTGACTCGCATATCGTCGATGGCTGCGATCAGAAGCACCATCCCTGGGCCTCTCTGGAACTGCTGCCCTACTTCGTAATCCTGAGCTGCTAGAGATGTCGATAATAGCTTCACTTCGGTTGGATCGCTCTTCTTGCGGACTAGGTAGTACACACGCGCCACCGCTGGGTCCCCAGACACCAGCAGATCGAATGTGCAGTCTACAACTGGCACGATCAGCTCCAGTTCCTTCACGTACGAGAGGTTGTAGGACACGTGGGCTTGCATTCTGGAGAAGATGAAGCGCAGGAACTCGTTGCTGTAGATTTGGTTGTTGAAGTCAGGGAGATCCGAACAAGTCGTGAACGATTGAGCTGAAGCCGTTGCGAGATAGAGGGAATCGTTGCGCGGGGTGGTCGATCCCCCGAGAACTTCTTGAACGAGAGGGCTCTCTCGGATTGTCCGAGTGCCGGCGTAGTTGGAGATGAGATTTGCCTTGTGGATTTCAACAGGCAAGTCGTGTGGCACGGTTCCACGGAGCACCTGGAGCGCTGTTGAGAAGGACTGCAGCGATATTACGATGTAGGCCACTGCGACAGCAAACACAGTTGTGCGGTAAACCAAAAAGCCAATACGCGCAGGCGATAGCGCTTCTGGCGGATGGATGAGCTTGTCCGGTGGGATGAACGTTGAAGGCCGGTGCTCATTCTCGCGCTTCGGGGCGCTGCTGGCAGGCGGGAGATCTTCCGCTGTGATGTCGGAAAAGTCGGCGTCGTCGCTGGGCGCGGGAGTCGATTCACCACCCATTGGAATTCGTGGTCTGAGTTTTAAAAGTGATCGAGGGCACTGAGATGAATCGGTCATAAGGTCACTGGACGGTTTCAGAGCCAAATGAAGCGCGAGACAAGTTGCATTCATTCGCGAGCTTGTTGCGACTCGAATGGCAAGATTGTATAAATGCTTTAAAGCCACGGATGCCTCCCGCGTAGATTATTAATGGGGTCGTATACTGATCGGGTCGGGGATTGGTCGGGCTTGCCTATGCACAATTGTAGTGTTGTACAGTAGAACGATCAAACACTGTCGAGAGAGGCCGACCGTAGCGAAGCGTAGGTCTGCAATGGTCGGCGCATGGGCCGGAGTAGGTATGTCTAAGTAGGAGTTACTATCTTTTTACAGACGCCTTACCCGCCATGAGCGAAGCGAAATTGGCGGTGCAAACGAGGAGCTCGCCCAGGCGTAGCCCAACCAAATCCACTGACCCGATCAGTATACGAGCCCATAAAAAGTCTATCGCCTCCCGAAGGCCTTGTCTTCCCATGCTCGGAAGTCACTGACGCGTTAGTTAAAAGATGAATCATACACTTGTTCAGACTACACCTTTGCCCAGACTTAGTTGTCTAATCCGCATCCAAAGTTGTCAGCTTTTATTTTGGGTGGGAGCGAGGTACCCGAACTAGGGTTTGGTAGTAGTCTCCAGAATAGTAGCGTTAGTAGGCATATTATGACTACTACTATTACTACTACTATAGCTCTGGGATTGGAGCCATTAGTAGTACTATTTATATAGTAGCCAAACGAAGCATGGCTAGTAGTGCTATTATCCCTACTAATGTACCCATTTCTCAACCGACGGCAGATCGCACGAGTGAGTGGCCACCAGGGCTCGCAAACGGTGCTGACCGGGTACCCGTACCCGCCCGTGTAGCCGTCCAAGCCGAAGTCGGGTACCCGTACCCGCCCGCCCACAAGCCACGGGTGTACCCGGGCCAGCCGGGGCTCAAGGTTTTGTACGGACGGACCAACTGTTACATCTCCCGACACGGTTTTAAAGTTAAACATTTAAGTAGGAACTACGCGAAATCAATACAGAGTGAAAAGGACTTGTGGAGGCTAAAAAAAGACGGCGTAGGAGCATGATATAGCTGGTATAAGTAAGAAATATTACTATTTAGTACTATTTTCGTCAACTTCGGGTACCTGTGGCACCGCCCGAGGTTTGCTTCGGGTACCCGTACCCGACCCGAAACCGGGTATACCCGAGGCGGGTAGGGCGGGTACAAGAAACGGGTACCCGATTGCGAGCCCACCACTTAGGATCCCTCATTAGGCCATGTCGGAGACTGTTTCGTGCTGTGTATGCGGCCGACAGGTGCATCATTTGTGCAACAACGTGCTGTGTGACGTTATCTCAAAGGTAACGCTGCTGTTCGTGGTTGCCTTTGTAACTTCAATTGTACTAAGCAGCTCGCCATACTGATTTTGCGGCTGCACACGTGTTACCAGGGACTTTAATGCGGAGATACCGACTCCCAGGAGCCTACACTCAACTGTACATCTGAGAATCGTCCTTACTCTCAAGTATTCTCCTGACTTCTGAGTAAGAGTAACATGCTTCAACTTTCGAGTACATTATTTCTTTTGGAGTTAGTTTGCTGTATAAACTAGAAGCTAGATACATCAACGTAAGGTGCTGGCTGTTGCACTGTCACAAGCGAAGTGAATAGCATATTGCAAGCAGTCTGGGGTGGTGTTTGTATAGTCTTTGGCTTGACGACGCTTAACTTTCCTATTAACCTCTTCTCGTCAGTACATGTATGCCGATGATCTCCTCCTCATGTATACTTGCGCTGTGCCTTCCTCCTTATTTTTCTAGGTTGCCATACTGGACATGGCATCTTTCCTAAGAAACCAGAAGCCATTTGCGAAGTTACTCAGAAGTCATCACTTTACTCTAAATTAAGTACATCACTCTATCGCTTGTGATCGAGCAATGCGCCGACCGCAATATTCAGGCAAGGTAGAGTGCAATAACGGAGATCGTGTGAAATAGAAGATGCAATATAAAGGTTTGGAGGGTTGAGCAGCTTTGAGGAAGCATTTACGTGTGCTGTTGGTTCGCGGAGGATCGCGAAAACTTACTCGTTGCTCGTCGCCAAGCGCGTCTAAACCGGGTCTTTCGTGAGGGATCCTCTTAGGATGACAACGGACAGCGCGCACCTACAGTTGTAGTTCCTACTTCGCATATGGAGGCCAGTAAGCACGATTGCGGTCGGAATTCAGAATGATGGTCAAATAGTCATAATTAGTAGTCATATTAGTAGTCATATTAGTACCACCGATTCTTCACTACTAATAGATATAGCATTCTACTATTGCCAGAATTTGGATAGTAGTAGTAGTATGACTACTAGCCAATATTCCCACTACTACCAAACCCTGACCCGAACTACTTTGCTTGCACTAAGGAGAGTGGTACCCCTTAGTTCGGGTACCTCGCTTCAACCCAAAATAAAAGCTGACAACTTTGGATGCGGATTAGACAACTAAGTCTGGGCAAAGGTGTACTTCTGCATTTCGAACTTGGGCTTTTCGTTCTGACCTTGCATTCTTATGTAAAAGATAAGAACCAGAAGGCAAGAAAAGGTTTCGAACTATTAAAAGTATTTGAGCGCTCTCTTGTAGCCAAACAAACACGTCGAAGTAAAAAAGAATAAAATGCATCTACAATATATTTCTTTGTTATAAATTCTTCTCGGTCGGTTCTAGGCTAGTGTCGTGACATCTAGGTGAAGCAAGTCGCTCCACGAAATAGTTGTCGGGTACACCAGCGTCGATGTTTCCTTCTCCGTGTAGTTTTCCAGGATTTCATACACGAAGATGCTCGTAAAGCGCAGTCGAGTCACCTTCATCATGATCAGCGGCAACAAATCTTGCGCTCCGATGAGAAACTTGCCATTGACAACGAGGAATCCGTTCCCGTAGACTGCATCGATCGACGCGATAAGCTGTTTGTCATTGCCTGCGTAGTTGTCGTAGCTGGAAATTACACCAAAGCGCTTGACGAGGGCGGCTCCTGTAGCCACCTCAAACGATGTGAGGTCATTCTGCTCAAAGCCCCTCCTGTACGCGCTCGAACGGCGCCTAGCAATGGTCGTTCCTTTATCTCCAGCAACTGCAACTGGTGCACTGGCGTATCGAGTAGACTTCCGACCAGCGATATACGCCAGCATTAGCACGATAGGACTGCAGATAGAGATCACCGCTGAGAACACCACGGGCTTCCGGTCGCTTTCGATCGGGTATGCAGTCAGGAGCTCGAACGGCGATAAATTTTTAAGACCGGGGCCAACGTTCAGCAGACCCAAAGTCGCGTCAGCCACTGCGAAGTCGACGATGTGCTTCCTCAGAGCAGGGAACAGGTTCGCTAGCTCCAATCGACAGGCCCAACCCAACTCAAACGTCAGAAATGCTACCAGCGGGTCGATACGCTCTCGAGTGAGGTAACTCAAGACACTCGCCAAGTTCAAATACACTGATAGCAGGTCTGCATGCACCAGCTCCGGTCGGTAGTAGATGACGTGTTGGCCAGTGATGGAGTCTCCGACGGAGATGCACATCTTCGTTATGGTCCAGTACCCATTCAAGTGGCTGCAGACTAAGACGATAACACCTCGATATAGTAGCATGTTGGAGACTGTGGCGAACGCATCACCCACCCACACGTGGCCTCTGCGCAGGCGTCTGTAGATCACAAATGAAAGCACGCTCAGGTTGAAAATGTCGTTGAGAGCGAAAACTCCGTGAATCGCATGCGTCCACGCCCACGAATCGTGCAGTACAGCACGGCCATACCACCTCCACTCTCGGAGTTCAGACGCCGGGTCACCCGGTAGATCCCAGTGCACCGTCTCGATGTTCGACTGCGCAGTGGGGTCGCCCTTGTAGCGGCCAAAACGGCGAGCCATACGCACTTCCTTCGCTGGGTCCAGGTTACGTTGGTTCGGCAGAGTTTTGAGAAGCCAGTAGTTGTCACCGTCGATTCCTTCCAGCTCCGCGTAAAGAAATTCCGGCTCAGCCACGTACGGATAATTGAGCGCTACGGCGATGTGGTGCTCCAGTGCTGTGGCTTGGGTGTCTTTGATAGCAGCGATAAGCACTATCGTGCCAGCCCCTCGTTGGAATTGCTGGGCGACTTCGTAATCCTGAGTCGATAGCGACGTCGATAGCAACAATACTTGATCAGTATCGCTCGTGTTGCGCACCAAATAGTACACACTCAACACCGTTTGATCGCCCAACACCAGCAACTCGAACGTGCAATCCACCACCGGTGCTATCAGCTCTAGCTCTGCCAGGTACGAGAGGTTGTAAGCAGCGTGCGCCTGAAGCCTCGAGAAGATGAAGCGCAAGTACTCGTTGCTGTAGAGACCGCGATTGTAGTTTGCCACGTTTGAGCAGCCAGTGTGCGAGTGAGCGGAGGGGGTCTCGAGGTAAAGCGAAATGTTTAGAGGGCTGGTCGAGCCCTCCAGCACTTGTAGAACGAGCGGGCTTTCCTTGATCGTAGTCGTACCGGCGTAGTCGGTGATGAGGTTGGCTGTGTATGTCTCGATCGGCAGGTCCCGCGAAATCTGGCCGCGTAGGATCACGACGGCAGTCGAAAACGATTCAAGCGAGATTATCACACACATGATCGCTACAGCGAACACTGCCAGCCGATGCATCAGGCGGAATGTCCGCATCTCCGTTGTGCCTTCGGGGAGCTGCAGGTTGTTGCCGATTGAGCCCAAGGCCGTCAGAGAGGGGCTGGATCTCACCTTCGGCGGGTCAGAGATGTCAGTGAAGCCGGTTTCCCTCATTGCAAGTCTTGCGCTTGACTTTTGAATGACTCAATTCGGAAAGTACGCAACGCGTTCGTTCCTTGGGCTTCTTCGTCCTTGTTCAGAAGTGTGAGGAAGAACAAGTTGGTGAGCATGACCACCGCACTCGCTACTGGAGTGGCATACTATATGTAGCTAGTTTTTCAGCTATTTTAGCTGACGTCTTATCTGTCCCACGCTATGTTAGTCTTGATTTTCCTTTGGTGTCGTCACTCACAGCGATGAGAGGGGGGCAAGCACTTGATTAGTTAGTGAGACTTGGCTGCCAATACCTAACTAATCCCTCTACCCTTCTAGTATTTCGCGTAGACTTGACCCCGGAGAACAGTCTATCTAACCCGTAGGGAGAAAAAAAAATAACCCGTCTTGGGAGAAAAATACTAATCTCCAGTCAGGTGCAAGTCCACGTAGAGAAGAAACACAAATATTGGGCCGCGGGCCTTCTTCTCTCGTACGAGCGCCGCGCTCTCGCTGTTCTTGGCTTCGAAACCACTTCTGCCGTGGTTTCTCCAAGTCGGAAACATCCGGTTCACTGAACCGGGCCTTCGAACCGGTTCCGTGGACCGCCCACTTTGCGTGTTGTGTATTGTCAAAGTTCCCGCTTCCCATCTTACGACCTACTTGCGGGGAAGGTGGTTGTGATGACCATTATGCACATTTATAGAACTATAGCATCATTGAGTGTGATATCTACATGACATCGATCTCAGTTTTCGGGAAGAGGGGGGGCTTTACGGCTTGTGTCGATACGTATTAAGTGATCGACACCACCAACCCGGAAAGACTCTAGAATTGGCACGGACTCGAGTCTTCTTTTGGCACAGATACAACATGGCGCGACATCTTCCCATACAAACCATGCAAAATAAATCGGCATCTAATTTGATGCGCAAGGTAAACGTACATATATTGTAATAAGTTTAATCATGCTTATCTATCGGTTGATCTATGCGAGGATGTTGATGTTGAGAAATATCAAGTCTTGCCAGCTCAAAGTCTCCGGATACACCAGCTGTGCCGTGCGCTGGACTGTATTGCCATCGACAGCGTACACGTACACATTCGTGAACCGCGACCGGAACGCCTTGATCATGATGATCGACAGCAGGTCCTTCGAGCCCACAAGAAACCTCCCGTTCGCCACCACGTATCCGGAGCAATAAACACCGTCAGCAGAAGCAAACTTGAGTCCCTTGAAGAAAACGTAGTTCTTGTAGTCCGAGATAAGACCGTATCGCGCTTCGAGCTCCACTCCCGTGGAAATCTCGAAGTTAGTGAGGTTTCCCTTTTGCGCAGTGGCAGCTGTCTCGTTGGTGGACCTGTCAGCGGTACTGCGTCCAGTGATTCCTGTGGGCTTCTGGTCGGGATAAAACTGGTGATATACCTTCCGCATGCCCACATACGCGAGCACGATCACTATCAGCAGAAGTTTCGGGAACAACGAGGCCGCCAAGAAGCCAAAGTCGATCCCATTGAGCATGTGCGTGGTCCAAAGCCGTAAAGCAGACAATTGTTCCTGCTCCTCCGTCATTGTGGCAATACCCGCGCGGTACTCGGTGTCGGCGTAGTCTACAACCTTCTTCATCACAGAGGCAGCACCGCGTACGATACCCTGACGACTGGTGTGAATAATCTCAAAGAGGAAAAGTGCGAACGCCGGATCGATGCGCTCTTTGGTGAAGCGCCCAATGAGGCCGATGATGCTGAGAAACATGACCATCAAGTCCGCGTGTGCAAGTTGCGCATGGACCGGAACTCTTTGCTTGCCAGAGATGTCGTTTGCGTTTGAAAGGCAGAACTCTACGAGTGTCCAGTACTCGTTCACGTACCAAGAAGCCATGACCAACAGCCCCCTCATCATCAGTGTACCGTTCGACACGGAAGCAAAGGCGTCGCCGACCCAGATCTTCCCCACGGGTAAGTTGCGGAACACGACGATTGACAGCACACCGAGCGAGAAAATGGTCTGCCAAGCGAAGATCAAGTGAATGCCGTGCACCCAAGCCCACGAGTCGAAGATGATCGGCTCGCCGTACCATTCCCACTCCGAGAGAGCCCGAGCAGGGCTCTCCTTCTCAACTTTCCAGTACAAGTTGCGCATATTCGCCTGCTCGGATTCTGCGTGGAGATAAAATCCACGACGCCGAGATGTTCGAGCGTGGATAACCGGATCCACCGAAATATTGTGCGGGACGCTGGCCATTTCCCAGTACCCGTCCTCGGACACCCCCTCTAGGGTGAACACGAAAAAGGCTGGAGAGCTTGTGTACGGGGAGTCCAACCCAAGTGCGAAGTACTGATCCACCGAGGTGGCGCGCATGTCACCCACGGAAAAGACGTTGACCAAGATTGCTGGACCACGCCGACTTTGCTCTGGAATGCGATAGTCTTGTGCCGATAGTGAGACGGCGATGATGCGAACATCCTCCGGGTCACTTTTGCCGCGAACCAAGTTGAACACGCGCAACAAACTCGGATCGCCGGTCACCAGCGGAGGCGACGTGCAGTCCACGATCCCCATGACGTATTCCACGTCTTGAATAATGGAGAGGTTGTACGACCCGTATGCGAGCAGAGCTGCGAAACCGGTGTACGTATTTGCCGCGCCGTACAGGCCCGTATCAAAGACGACGTCGGCGCAATTCTCGAACGACGTGGAAGTTGCGGACTGCAAGTAGAGCGTTTTGTTGTTTGGAGTCGTGTCTCCACCCAGCACCTTCTGGACAATGGGGCTGTCATGGATGAGTCCGCCCCCGCAGTACCCCTCGATGAGCTCTGATTTCATGGTTCCGAACGACTGCGTCCCGACATTTGTACCTTGTAGAACGTCGAGTGTTTTGTACGCCGCCTGAAGCCCGACGCCAGCATACATCAACGCAGCAGCCACCCCAGCAACACGTCGCACCAAGTTGAAGATTTGAGCCCCAGTTATTCGCTTTTTGTTGTGGCCTGGACGCTTGTTGCGGTGCGGCGCATTCGTCTGAGGAGCAACGCGCGCGATGATGCCCGTCATCCCCGCCGGCGTATCCGACTCGATTCCTCGCTGACACGTCCAGTGAGTAGCTGAGGGGAAATGCGGCTCAGTTGGGTGGGGAGAAGTACCAGAACGAGAAGGATGTCCTCGGCTAAATGTGATGATGACTCGAAATAGCTGGAGATTCTCAAGGAATACTTTGGAGTTTCCTATGGAAGCGCACAGGTTTGCTAGACTAGAATAGGAATAGGCTCGGCCGACGATCCACCCGACTATGATTGATTCTCATGCGCTGAATGACGCCCAAGGGGCAACAAGTCGGTCATGTGGTCACTCCGACAAGACCACGAAGGAAACCCCTATCTATGGTATCCTGAGGACCTCCCCCGTTCTCAACTGACGAGGTGGACATGGCTGGAATCCAAGGGTGATGCGACATCCAAGTGTAGGGGAGATCGTGGTTGTTGAAGAGCACCCCTCAAGCTGCCCGCATTGACTTGAGAAGAATCGGAGCCCCCCCCCCCGTCCTCCTCCGATCAAGCATTGATATCGTAAGACGCAGGAAACTGTCTCGCTAGTGCATGCACTTTGACTCGCCTCATCAACAGACTCCAGCCAAAGCCGCAAGAAGACGTGCACTGCATATTGCGCAGCCAAACGCAACACCCGTGACCTTGCTTGCCGGCCGTGATGACCTCCAAAGCGCTTGAGACAGCCATTGGTGCTTGGCGTTTGGACAATCAGCCGGATGGTGTCACAGACATGCAAAACTGAACCAAGGCTGACGTACGAGTTGCTCCTTCATTCCCAAAAGACCCGAAGCAGCCCAAGTAAGAAAGCAAGCAGCGGGGCAGAGCCGACCATGGCAGCGACAGACGCGACACAGACGCCGGACGTGGACTACGTGCTCGTGGACTTCGAGCCACTGCACAAGCAGCGCTGGCGCAGCGACACCGTGCGGCTCGTGTGCGTGCAGTTCCCGCCGCACACGCAGAGTCTGTGGCACAAGCACCTCAACTACGGCATCTACGTGGTCATGGCGCCGCTCAGCGTGACGGAGCAGCCGCACGGCCAGGAGCCGCGCCCGCTCGTGCAGGACAAGGGCTCCGTCTTCTGCCGCGACCACACCAAGGACAAGCTGCTGCACGTCATCACGAGCCACGAGACGCCGCTCTTCATCGTGGAGGTGGAGCTGCTCAAGAAGAAGGAGGACGTGGTGGCGCACGACCACGTGACGCCGCACGCCGCCGTGGGCGT